CTCTAGGTGCATCCATTTACCTATAAAAGCCTCGAGTTTCTCTTCCTTTATAGCTGAGTAATACTCCATTGTATAAAAATACCACATTTTTTAATCCTTTCCTCAGTTGATGGGCATTTGGGTTGTTTCCAAGATTTAGGTATGACAAATTGAGATCAAAGGGTAATTTATCACAGCCAAATGCTAGCTCCTTTTCCCTTTGCTTAATTTTATAACATTGATAGGCACATAAAAATAAGTGTATTTTTTCTAACTGCTGTTTTATTGAAATGTGTGTGTATATTTATAAATCACAGATTAAACCTTGTATTCAGATCCAAGTTATATTAAAATAGCCAGAAGAGAAAGACCTTTTAAGTGTTAAAAATACATTCTGTTCTTGCCACTTAGAATTTAGAAAGGTCAAATTATGACCATAAAATACAGTACTCTGTGAATTAAAATAACTCTGATTCGGACAGTGGGAAGCACATGGTAGAATGCCTCCTGTTGCTTTGCGCCTAAGGACCGTTCTTGCTTTCTTCCTTCTCACAGGTCAAGGACTGTCTTGCGCCGCAGCTGGAGCAGCGCCACCACTGCAGGGGGCCTTGAGGGGAGCGTGAAGCTGCATGAGGGCTCTCAGGTCTTGCTCACGAGCTCTAACGAGATGGGTACTGTTAGGTATGTGGGCCCCACGGACTTTGCGTCGGGCATCTGGCTTGGACTGGAGCTCCGAAGCGCCAAGGGGAGAAACGATGGCGCTGTGGGTGATAAGCGCTACTTCACCTGTAAACCGAACCATGGAGTTTTGGTTAGACCAAGCAGAGTGACCTATCGGGGAATTAATGGGTCAAAGCTCGTGGATGACAGTTGTTGAGTTAAAGTTACAAATTATCCAATGAGCACTCTCTGTGCACTCTGCCTGTCTCTTTGTCTCTGTCTGTCTCTGTCTGTCTCTATCTCTGTCTCTCATATAGTATAAAATAGAGTCCATGGCAAATGGTTTATTTAGCCATTATTTAAAATTTGAAAATGCAGTATAGTTGTCTTCACAAAAACCATTGTAACAGTTCAGAGAGATACCTTTAAAAGGACACAATTCTGAACTCTGGGAATCATGGTTCTCTTAAAAACAATTTCAAAATAAGCAAATTTTTGAAGCTTTTGAAGCTTGAGTTCCCAAGAAAATTCTGGGACTCAAAACAAAAGTGCCATTAGGTGATTAACTGATGCATTACTTTGCTCATTGTGTTTCATTTTTGCACATAATGTATTTTTCATAGTGCCATAATTGTAAGATTTTTTTTGATCAGCTTTGGTGAACATAATGTTCGCATGACCTCTTTCTGTTGTGTTGTTTAATTTTTCTTTGTTTTATTGCTAATAGGTACCTTAAGAGCATTAAGTAGGTACATGACTAGGGTATTTTTAATATTTTTTGGTAAAATCACTTACCATTTCGGGAATGGCTCATGTGAAGACACATCAGCACGTGGGAGGTGAATGTGTTCTGCAGATATCTGGCTCTGCCACTGGCCCTGGCCAAATAAGGAAATGGTGTCTGTCTTAAGCAGGGCCAATAACTAGTCGGTTGGCAGAGCTAAGAATGAATGTTTCCTGACTTGTGGCTCCGTGTTCTTTCCTCTGTACAAAGTGTGTAATCTGAGATTTTTCTCCTTCTGCTTACCTGCCTCATCTGTATTATATGAACTACAAAAAGCCCCACCATTAAGGTTTACAAATTCAAGTCAGAATTTTTGCACATACATATTTAACTTCTTTATTGGACATATTTGTAACGCAGCACTTTCAAAACATGATGCACTTTCATATTTGTGGAGAATTTGCCATCCTTTCCTCCTGGAATTTGAAAAGCATTTTTTAAAAAAATGTATTTAACAGAAAAGAACAAATTAAGATGTGTTGGGAAGGGTGCATTAGGTACTTGTGTAGATGTGTGTGGTTCCCGGACTTTTTGTTCTGTGACTCACGCACGTGGTGTTGTGTTTGCTGCAGCTGATGTTGTGTGTTTCCAGGGGCTGCTGAAGCCAGCCTGTTACAAAGCCACTAAGCAGGATTGTTGTCATCGCCCTTCCTGAACATTTGTTAAAGCAAACTTCATGATAGAGTTGTGTGATAATGACATGTGTTTGTCTTGTGGAAATGTACTGAAGTTTCTGTCCTGTATATGTAAAGATTTATCTTTTCTTGTAAATATTTAGACTTTACCACAGAAATATTGGAAGAGTTTGCTTTATAAGACTAAAAGTATACTTCAGAATGGAGCTTGCTTTGTGCTTAGAAATATATGCTAAGCTATTTTGCAATATACTATTTTAACTCTAAATTATGTCACTCCGTTGCCTTTTTTTAAAGTGTGGTATTTCACATACTGCTGAAGTTATTTTCCTGAAGTACATTTGCAAAATAAGGCTGCTTTGTAATCAAGGAATATTTTTATTGATTGAAGAAAATGACTGTGCTGTAATTAAAAAGTAAACTTATTTTATTATATAAATTATTTCTTAAAAACTATTTATACCTTAACATGGAATCCATGAGTATACTGATCTTGAGTGTCCATGATTTTTTCTGTTAAATATGAAATACTATAAGTTAAAAGCAGTTGTGGCAACTGAATTTATTTTTGAGGTCAAGGAACTAACTGTTCTCTTCATATTTAGATTAGGATTATTAAAGCCATATAGTGCTTATGTTTCATATATTATACATACAGATTAGATGTTTTCATCTGTGTTTTGCCTATTAAATGTCATTTGAAGTTCATTTCTGAGCATTAATAAAAAGGGAAGCTGTTTGGTTTGGAATGGCATCTTGTGATTTACCCTCCCTGCAACTCTTCTCTGTAACTACAGTCTTTGTGCTCTGCGCCTTTTCCCCCGTCATAACTGCTGAGATTTGTTCTACCCTAGAAAAGACCTTATACAGTCTCCCGGTCTTTATTCAACAAGTAAACTTTGGTTATCTTAAAGATGTGTTTCTGCAGCTTTCTAAGCTCCCTTAACTTTCTTCTGTATAGGCTGGATTTCATTTGCTTATTTAGGGAGGATCAAACACTGAACTTAAATAGTCACCTTTTCCACTAAAAGGCTTTTTTTCTAATTTTAGGATAATTTTTAGGGAATAATTTTAATTGCTTAAAACTGTTGAAACACAGCTGATTGCTGAATAGGACTGAGAGGAATGAAGCCTTGCTCGAGCCCCTGCCCCCTTCTCCCAAGCTCACCTTGTCTTCCCTCTTGTTTTTTCTCCTTAGCATTTACCACTGCTGGTCATGCTTAGCTTTTCTTTTTTCTCCATTCTGTCACTCGATCAAGGGGTAGATTTTTGACTCTTTCGTTCACTACTTTGTTCCCACACTTAGGATAACACTTGGCACCTAGCAGATGCCCAGCAAACAGAGACAATGAAGGCCGTTGGGTGTATAACGTAGATGACGTCTGGCTGGTGACAGAGAGGTGGCCTTGACAGCTGAAGCCCTGACACAGGTCAGTTTAACTAGACAGAAGGCCACATGATAGAAAAGATGTGGATCCAGTAGTACAGCTTTACCCAGGAAGAGCAACAGGTAAGAAAAGAAAAGATGCTGAGTTGGGGAGAAAAGGGAGGCAAACACAGCAGTGTCCCTGAGACAGGTCCCTGTCTGTTCCGCTGGGACTGACTTTGAATTTCTGTTTTGATGTGAAGATGATTTAGAGAACCTGATTGTTTGCAAGTGTGCACAGCTTTGGTCTCCTGTGCTACATGTTTTTATTTTAGTTTCATTTTGAGGCTCTCTCTTTAGGATATGTGATAATTTTTATTTAAATCTGATTGACCAGTGGGTGAAAATCTAACATGTTCAGAATCATTCTTATTTGAGAAACAGATCTAGTAAATGTAACTATTTATTGGATATTGGTTATCTAACTGATTGACTCAGACTAACATGTATCAACACATTGAAAGTCAATAGACCGTTTTAAAAGTTTTCTTCTTGCCCTTTGCTTTATGACACATTTATAATACAGGTACCATAGTTGATACAAAACTCCTGTTATGTTTTTAGTAATTGTTTATTAACATCCCTTAGCACATAGGCCCTTCTTTAGAGTGTCACACCAGCTGCTTGAATGTGCAGCATTTCTGATGGAGCTTGTTAATAGCCTGACCAAGTTACACTTAGAGGATGTATGAAGATTTTACAACAGTGGAATGTGGTGCCTTTGCATATGCAAAAAGATTTTTGTCTATTGAAATTTTTGCAAACGTTCCTTTTTGTAGGAGTGGGAAAGTACATCTCATAGAATGAGTAGATGGCACATTAATGTAGTTGCATTCTGTTGATGGAGATGAAGCTTCTGCTTTATAGCTGTCCATGAGGTGAGCAGAGGCAAGGCACCTTTTCCCTCTTTTTAGAATGTCTTCTAAGGAGTAGAATTTTCATGGTGATAAATAGCAAACCCTGTCATTTCTGTACCTTTCAAACAAGATGCTGCTGAGCAAGGGCAGGGAGCTTTCAATGGTATAAATATATCTTAAATGTTTTAATGGAAGCTATTATCTTAAAGCATAATCTGTTCTCAGTGATTATCAGTATCATTTAAAAAATACTGTTAAATGTTTTAAATTCAGCTCTAAAGTACTGAGCGAGCCTAGATATTTGAGTCTGTTTCTACACAGATAACTATAAACACATACACCCTGGTAGACATCTTTGTCAGGAGGAATTTGGTCTCAGAACTGGGTGTTTAATCAAGTTGTTTCAGTTGGCTAAATGAAATCGAATAGGGAGTCTCAGAAATGCCTACCCTGTATTGAACTTGAATTGTAGGAATTTCTACAGCACTGAGGTTGAAATATCCAAATACTGTGTAGTCCCTGATCTGGGTCAGGCTTGCAGAGGTTAAATTCTTTCAGTTCCAGCCTAAAAGGATCTTTACTCAAAGTGGATTTGCCTCATTGAAAACTGAACTAATTATTATTCTACACACAACAAATCAAGTTGTCCTGGCATAGAGCTGAATCATGTTAAAATTATATGCACAGCTTCAGAGCATTCCTTGTATTTTCTGTAATTTGACTTCTGAGATTGATCTTAAAAGTCAGTCGCCAGTGTTAATGACATTGGCTGCCCCTGACAGTTCTTGTTGTGAAGGATTGGTGTTACCATCTAGTGTCTCTGAGGAGAAAAAAAACTCCAAAATGGACTTTAAAATGATTTTTAGTGGTCTCAGTGTATCTCATATTGATGGCGGAGGAACCAAGTTTTGCTGCATAGAGGAAGTATGTAGAACATTACAGATCAGAAGAGCAAAGTAAAAGATTTTAATTTTTTTGAACCTGCCAATAAAAATGGATTTTAATGAGAATTCCAATAGATTATATATATATATCGGGTAAAAATACTGGAATTTGCTCAAATGATCTTTTGATCATTTGGGAATAGAGGGAGGGAATTAAGAAATAGTACAAGGTTCTTGAGGCCTCACTTCACAGTCCCTGCTGTCTGACAAAGGAAAATTCAGTGTAATGTTCTACTTCAGTGTCTTATCCTGTATAAACCATCACCATCCACTTACTGATATGTACACAAGGCAAATGAGTTTCTGTCTTTAAAAATATTTCTTTTGAGAACTGTGGAATACTACATAAATATTCTTTTGGGAATAATGCAAAAAGATTTAAATTATTTTTTCTTCAATGATTAGGTGCAATAAAATGTAGGAAATTTGCCTGCAGTCTTCACAGTTTTATCTTTGTGGGACATGTGAACTGGCTGTCTTTTTGGATTCCCCATTCCCAGGTCCACTGTGAAGCTCTATGGTTCACAACTGCTTTCCCAAAATTGCCATCCAACGGCGGTGGATATCTCTGTACCTGAAAAAGGGGGTGCTCTCGGTTCCAGTGGTAATTGGAGAGAGGACTCTTCAGTGAGTGCCCATCGTATTGACACCTGGACACACCTGTTGAGCAACATCAGAACCAGATACCTCCCAGTCCCAAACATTTTGGATTCTGTCACCTCACTTTGGGAATGGGCGTCCCATCCAAGTACAGATCAGTGGGCAAGGGGCATCTGGTGTCTCATTAGATACCATGGTGGCAAAAGGTAAACTTCCAAAGATAAGTTTTAGACTTTTACTTTGCTAAGAAGGCTGCCCTTCAGAGGAGAACAGCGTGACACTGAAGGCATGAAGATCATCAGAGGGACTTAGCTTCCTCAGGAAGCCCTTCTGGTTGGCTTCGTATTGCTCTGGTAATGAGATGATTGGCTGAGGAAATCTGAGTGGGAGAGGAACCAGAGGACTGATGCTAAACTTCTGACCTGCGTCCTGAACATATCACTTGGCTCATGAGGATGGTGCTCTGCATGTATTGGCTTTGGCTCTTAATGAATTAGAATTCAGGGTCAAGGAAACACACATGGTCATGTCCTACTGCCTGTGTCCTCCAGGTGTTGGGGTTTACCTTACACACAACCACAGACCTCAGAGTTGGAAGGGGCCTTTGAAACCAAACCCTTCACTTTTTAAAATTAGAATATGGGTCTTTGGGTGACTTGCATGAGTCCTGTGGGTAGGGCACTGTGGTCTCGTATCTGGTCTCTTAACTCCTGCCTAGTCTGCTTGCTGACTAATGGGCAAGTACTAAACCCTCCAAGATGACTCAGTCATCTGAAATCTTACCAGCCTGATACTCATCTGTATTGGCAAATAATGTCTCATAAAAATGCAAGTAGTCTAGATAGAGATGCTAGTTCTTAGTGCAAGTTAGTGTGGTAAGAGCGCCTCTCAACTAATGCCGGCTGAGATGAGCCTAGAGAGGGAGTGGTCGGTGGTGGAGGGGAAGACGATTGTGAGTGATTAATTACAAGGGGAAGGTAGGTCTTGACAAGTGATTGCCTGCAGGGAAAGCTGAGGGTGTATCAGAGAAGGATATAAGAAGTGGATGTGGGAGGGCACCACAAACACATACGGGCCCTTACAGTGTTCTGAGGTTAGACTGGCAGTGTGGTGATCATGAGGGCAGTATGCCTGTTTTACGAGCACTGAATGCTGAAGAGAAGATAGTTGTCAGTTTTAGAGTTCATGTAGCCGCTCCCTCCCCAACTAATTATATTTAATAGTCTGATCCTATCAAACTTTGCATGTTTCCACCTTGCTAAGCTAGAACTATAGCTTTGTACTTAAGGAGCACATTAAAAATTAAGTATACCTGCTCAGGATACTGAATGAAAACAGAATCTTAATAGCAGCCTTTCTGTTTGCTCTCGAGTCATCCTCTTATTGCAGGGACTTGAGAGTGCCGGTTTGGTTTTGTGTGTCCACGTGACATGAGGAACCATCTGCTGCAATGAAATTAGCAAAGTCAAATTTTGATTCTTTAGGGACTCATTTAAAAAGTCATTAACAAAAGCCAGATTGACACCACGGCACTTCAAACAATTTTATGAATCTTGTTGTGGGAAGCCTATCCGTGTAGCCTCACTTCATATGCAGCTTGTATTAGGACTACAAAGCTCATAGGAAGTTGACTCTTGCTGTATTCCTAGAGAAAATCTATTAAGATAGAAATATTTAGAATTCCCTAGTGGTATGCCCTGTGTATTTCAAGGCCCTTATTTTAAAGAATAGTTAATTCACAGTTACGCAGTGTCTTGTAGCCGAGGGTTTACCAAGTATTATGTGGAGACACCAAATTTTTTTTTTTTTTTAAAGAGAATTACTCAGATTGATCAAATAGCTTCCTTCCTGTGTTTTTGGAACTTAGTTACATGTGTTAAAAATAAGCAATAGATGAAGCAGAGTGGCACAGATGAAAGAGTATCAGCAAGAGGGCTGCCGTGGGTGGAACAAGAACTGCTGAGGCCAGAGGAAGGACACAGGGCAGTGACCCCCGAGCCCCTCACAACTGGAGCTGCCCAGGTAGGAGGGAGACACGTGCTTCCGCAGTCCATGTCTTCCCTTGACCAGTGAGGAAGGGGCAACACTGTCTTCCTTTCGTACAAGATGTGATCAGAATCTACATGGTGGATGTTTAAAATGTCTTTTAAAATTTTATTATAGGTAGTGACACATTGCCATTGATTCCCTGCAGAATACTCCCCCTCACTTCAAACACACTTGTCCCATCATTCTTGCCACTTTCTGATGCAGTTCTGGAAGTTTTCCTTCATTTTTTCATAAGGTGTGATCGAAAGTGTGAATGGCAGGCTTGTCAAAAAATTGTGGTGTGTCCTCGTCCACCGTAATCACCAGAGCTGGCACCACGCAGCTTCTGACTCTTCCTTAAAGTCAAAATGATGGTGAAAGACAAATGTTTTGAATCAGTCAGGACACTGAGTCAGCCATGACGGCACAGTGAAAGACAGGAAAGAGGACTTCGGGAACTATTTCAGAAAGTGGCAAAACCGATGGAATAAGCGCTTATGAAGCTGAAAAACACTGTATTCCTGCCAGTTTGATTTGCTGTAATTTTGAGGCACCTTGCATTAGAGATAGTCATTCCTCACAGTTTGCTGGTTTCCCAGTGAAACAGTTGTGACCATCTCATGGCTTCTTTATAGATGTGGAATATAAATAATTATATAGTACTGGCTGTGGTTTAATTAACATGACTCCTGCAAACTTTAAAGGTGCCTGTGCATGTTCTAGATGGAACTTGCCATCATAGTTAACGAATTTATTCTAATTCACAGCATCTGTGTAAATTGCTGGGGCCATATGTCTGGAGCAATATTCTGTGGACAGTAGTCCAGTTTAATCTCATGCTGCTACCTAAGGATCACACCAGCTTCAATGAAACATCTTAAGGTCATCATATCTCAATGTGGAGTTGTTTATTTACTTATCCACATATACAGGCTGGTAAGATTTGACTGTTACATAACATAGACAGTAAAGAATTAAAAGCAACAAATCAGTGTTAGTGGTACTAAGGCACAACCTGTATTTGTAGAGAAGAAAGAAATAGGATTCCCCTTTATTAATTACCATGAGGAGTTGACTGCCTTTGCTGAGTGGCACACTTCCTGCCTAACTGGTTACTGGCATTACAAACATAAAATAGAATTATTTTCTTAACAGCACTTCTGTTGTAATCCTTTAGGAGAGTGTTTCTCAAAGTGAGGTTCTATAGCTCCTGTGGATGGTTTGTGAGCTGGAATAATGCTTGTGTAGCTAGACTACTTTTCACCAAAACTTAAAATAAATTTGGCATGAGCCAGAGCTTTCCTGATAGTTATTTAGAGATGATTCCATCGATGCTGCCACTTGTATCTATAACTGATGAAAATATTTTGGCAATTACGCAGAGGAGGAAAAGTGGTCCCCAGGGTACTGGTGCATCTGTGAATGTGCAGAACCAACTCTGGAACCAGGCAGCTCCCTTCAGGGAAATGAACAGTTGTCTGGTATTGTCATAGAACACAGTGGCTCTCTTGCAAAGTGATACTTTTGATGTAGATGCAACTGAGAAACTGGAAATGTGCAGGCACGCATGTGTACACACACACACACACACACACACACACACTCACACTCACAGCCTTTTTGCTTGGGAATCGTTCATACCTAGAAAAGTAAGTTAAAATGCTTTCCTCTCAAAGAGATGCTGTGGCCCAACCACCACCAGGCAACAAACGACATGAGAACAGAGGAGAAGCAGACGGAAAGAATGAGATGAACACTTAGGAATAAAGACATTGGTGCATGTACAATTTAATGGGTTCCCAGTTCAGTTTCATAGAAATAAATTTCATCCGTGAAAACCAGGTTCAGAACCCCCTCTGTCACATGTCAGCGTGAACCCCAACTCTCCAAGCACTCCTAAACCTCTTTCTTCATTGCTGCCTAGGGGAAAATCTTTTGTTTAATGTAAATTTGTTGCTGCAGCAATGACGCTATGATTATTTCATCATATTTGTGTTCCCAGTGTACCAGGATCACATGAGGGAGAGAAAACACAAGTGGACAGGAGAACGAAGGATACTGCGTTAGTACTTTCCTAGGACTCCTGAAGGGCTGTTCCTCCTGTGACCCTGTCTGTCACTGAGAGGAGGAACTTAATTTGGTGGGGTTCATGACTGAAACTGTCAGAAAATTTTGGCTTAAGATATATCGATACATGTGCCCACAGATGGATATGTTTCTATGCTCTGATGTATTACTGCTGCTTAGAATTTTTGTTTCTAACTATCAGATGTGAATTAGTGGAAAGTTTGAAAGTAATTTAAGTCTTGAGTTTTAAATTCAGCAGGAAACCTCACACTCAGTTTTTCACTATTAGTAGAGGGATTTTCTTAAGGCATGAGGTATATTAATAGGGTTGGTGAATTCTGGGTCTATACTAGTTTTTATCCTACTCAAAGCACTTGGGATGTATGTATTCCATTTATGTGAGTATACAGTATGTACATTTTCTCTATACTATGGAACCACTCATGACATTTTTTTTTTTTACAATTGGCAATGAATCAGTACAATTAGAAGCATCTACCCATCTAAAGTGATGTTTCACTCAGTAGTTTATGATTTTTCTTTTCTAAGTAAAGAATGTCTTTCTCCATGCTAGTCATTACAATGCACGTCTTTATTGCCATTTCCTCACCCCTCAAATTGTTCACGTCCACATCAGCAAGGTAAGGAAACGATGACTTCCACTATGAGACACATAAGCAGCTAGTTCTTACTACACTGAAGCAGAGCACACGCAGTTTAAAAGAAGCATAAGGAAGTCGACCACAACCATGCGTAAAACCTTATGCCACCAGTCGGGCCGTGTATTGATCCCTTGTTTGTAGGGTACGTTCTTCTTTTGAAAGAATAAGGTGAACCCATGCTCAAAACCTCTCTAAAGCATTTTGAATGTACAGCATTGTATGTGGCACTTCAAAACAAGTTGGCACAACATGAAAGTGACGTTTGGTCTCTGGTGGTGGAGCCCCGGCCCCCTCCTCTGTGGGCTTGGGCTCTCTCCGAGAGAACTGAGCCAGCGTGGAGTTCAGGGCCCAGGCTGGCCGGCGCTGCTCTTGTTCTTCAGAGTGGTGTCCTCGTAATGACCAGCTCCAGGGGCAGTGGTGGCCTCTAAAGGTAAGCCCTGCTGCTGGTAGCCGTAGTTGACATTCCCACAGGGGAAGTGACGCAGCCGGAACAGAGGCACCTCCTTCACGCTGGCAGTCAGCGAAGAGGGCTCCAGCAGCAGGGAGGCCCCGGGCAGTCTGCCGGCGGCCGCGCTGGGCGGGACAGTACAGCTTCCCTCGCGGCCCGCGCTGCCCTTCTGGTGCGGCTCCTTGTTTGCTGGAGGATTGTTCTTTTTGGCAGGTTTCTCTGTAAACCATGAGCCGTAAGTCGGGTTCCACAAGTTGGTCGGCTTGTTTCTGGATCCCTGGACCCTGTGCAGCGCGGGCGGCGGGTTGGACTGAGAGAATGCCATGTTAATGTGTCCCCCTTCCACGGCCGGCCCCCGCGGGACCTGCACCGAGACCCCCGCTGCGGGCTTCTTCACAGCCTTGCCGGAGGAGGCCGCGGTGGGCAGGGCTAGTGGCACAGCTGGGGCCGGGACACGTTCCACCTCCGGTTTAGCCTGCTGGGGAGACACCAGCAGGGGCGGCATCCCCTCGGGGTCTTTGGGCCGCACGGGCACTTTCTCCTCCTCCTCCATAGGTGGGCCGTACTCTATGGGCAGAGCGGTGTTGATGACGTCTGGGTCCTGAGAGAGGAGAGAGGGACCCATGAAAAGTCAGGCACAGACAGAGCGCACTGGGCCTGGAAGAGACCTTGGGCGTAATTTCATCTAAACTCACTTTAGAATATGTACTGTGTAGTATTAACTTGCAGCCCTGAAGGAGAAGAAACAAGTCCGACCTTGTCACTGTCCTTGAAGGCCTTGGAGGGAGAAGTTGTAATGGGAGTGTGAATAGGGTGCTGGGCGTTGGGAGTGTTGGAAAGAAGAGATCTGACCAAATTTTAGACATGAATGGCTTACTGTAAAAATCTTTTAAAAATGACTCTTCTATTCCCAATAAAATCCTTCCATGTAACAATGATAAAGTGTGTGTGTGTGTGTGTGTGTGTGTGTGTGTGTGTGTGTATGTGTGTGTGTGTGTGGTTATCTGCTCCGTTCCCGCCTGCCTTCCTCATTCTCGAGCCTGGCTGGCTTACACATAGGATAACTGCTTCTTCCTGGACTGCTTGGGATAGGAGAGGCGCTTTGGAGAGCCCAGGAAGTACTCAAGTGCTACCAGGAAAACCATTTACCAAAGCAGCTAGATCCTTTTTATGGTGATAGATTGTAGCACAGACAAACAGAAGTAATTGCCAGAGGTTTAAGGGAAATTTGTGGAAGAAAACTTAACTCTGGAGAAACTTAATGTATTAATGTTCATGCAAATTGGGAAAGCACCCCTTTACTTGAGTTTAACAGAACACATTCACCCTATATTCATCAGTAAAAGAGGTGAAGAATGAAAAATGACTATCTTCTGACTCTTTCTAACCCTTAGTTCCCTCCCTGTTTATTGTTTCTACATGTCATTTAAAATAGTCATGTGTAAAACTGCCTGATTTTGAGAGGGCTGTTATATACTCTGGAGAAAAAGTCTCCAAAGCTGTACGAAGGTGGATATAGTCCATTTACACTGTAATGTCTTCACCCAAATGCCAGTACACAAGCATCTCTGAAAGGATCCCAGGGACCCAGGCAGGGACGTTGCTCCGGAGGGAGATTCCCATTCACCTGCCCAGCTCAAGGGCCCACAGAGGTGGACAGAGAGGACAGCAAGGAACTGTAGCTCGGAGAAGGTGTCCATGCTTTGTCCCTTCTGAGGGGCTCTAGGGTAGTAGTGGGGTCATCGCTGGGCTCTTCTGAAATAGCTTCAGAATAGAAATCCTGCAGGAGGAGGGCCAGGGGAGAGGGGAGGGACGCAGACATGGCAAAGGGAGGAGAGGACCTGACGACAAAGCGGAGGCACTGGGAGCAGGGAAGTCTCAGTCCATCAGCTCCATGCTTTTCAATTCAAACACTCTTTATCCATGCGTGCTTGGTAGCTAGTGATTTCATTCACTGTGGGGCGGAGGTACCAGGTCCTTTGTCCTCCCCTCCCTCTCCTTTCCACTCCTTCCGCCTCAGGATCCCCTTTCCATGTGTGAGAGATCTATCCCCCTATTTCCTATGGGCTGTCTTTCCTTTAGCTCTTTATTTATACTTTGGGTTTCTCAAATAGGAGAAGTTATATGATGTTTAGGCTTGTGTGCCTGACTTATTTAACATTACGGTTTCAAGGTGCATCCATTTTCCTCCAAGGGACTCAAATGTGTCCTTTATGGCACAGTCATACTCCACTGTGTCCGTGCTCAATGAGCTGGGAGGCACGGTGGTCTGCTGAACGGAAGGAGGGAGGTAAAGAAAACTCAGTCACCCTGGAAGGGAGCAGGAAGGGGAGTGCACAGGGGGTGTGCGACAGCTTGGAAGCTGTGTGACCCGGACATCCTCTCCAAGCCAAAGCTCTCACTGCACAGTGGGGTCATGTGTGTCCCGCGGTGAGGATACAATGTAATGTGCGAAGTGACTGGTGTAGCACACACCTACATAAGTGCCTCTGATGATGTTAAACTTTCTCCAGATTTCTTTGAATACTCCCTTAAGACTCTGAAGTACATATAGTTGGACATACAATTTAGCAATTGTGTATTATTTATTTCACATGCTGTTATTTTCCAGGAAGGCTGTAAATTATCTGAGAGCAGGGCTGCTCTGTACTTCTAGTTAATACTTGTGAATTGAATTGATTCCCTATGACTACTGCCTGGCACTGTGTGCTGGGGAAGGAAGTGGGAGTTACTCGTGTTTATTGGATGAAATGGGCCAACTGAGACACCAGTCATTTCACAGATAATTGAATATTCATTCTCATCGTCATAAATCTTACTCCCTGACTGGTTTAACTTTTACTTCCTATTCTGGTATTTGCCATCTTTTAAGACATTTCCATAGAGATTCGATGCTGATGGTCACAGGGAGAGAGTTTATACCTGTGTGCAGTATTCAATCCTCTCCAAAATTATGGCAAAATTTGGCCTGTCTTCAGGCTGGTGTTGCCAGCACTGGGTCATTATCCGGTACCTAAAAAAATAAGCACATTCATTAAATCAAGACAAGCACAAGGATGCAAGATCCTTTTCTCCCAGTCCTGTTCTACATGGGAGGGCCTAGGAGTGGCACAAATCTTCACGGGTGGTAACTCATGGAGGGCCCTCGTAGTTGGTGTATGCTGCCCCCTGCTGATGAACGAGAAAATCGTGCCCCTCAGGTGTTCTAATACAAAGCTAATTAACACAGACTTCCTGGAGTTTACATTAAATGACTCACCTCATTCCATTCCTGGCTTAAAGGCACTTCTGGGATGGAATATTCTAATATTCTATTTCCCATCTGCCTTGATTGTGGGAAGGTAGGTGAGGGATGCCATGCAGGACAGCACAAAATGCAGGGTACAGAAGTATTTAAAGGAGACTCAGGAGGGGTTGAGTCTGGGACACAGCGCCCTAGAGGTGCTTGAGGAGTATAGATGGGCGTGGTGAATCTACAGCCTCCAGCCAGGCAGTGGGTGCCTTTTCTGGAAGGTGGTATTGCTTTTGGGGCTGGGAGACTTAACCCATCTCTTTCAAGTCCTGTCTTGGGGCTTATTAAATGAGGTCACCATCTGCCCCCTCATCTTAAAGAGGCCTGTGCAGCTCCAGATATTTTTTGAGAAGAGAAACTGCTCAGTGACCAGTAAGAGTGTTCCTAGAGGATCGTACACAGGCCCGGGGCAGTTCTTAGGTGGGTCCATCCGTCCTCCACTGGTGACGAACTCCAGAACCTCCTGATTGCTTTTGCTGGGGTACGGCATGTAACCCAGAGAGAAGATCTCCCATAGCAGCACGCCAAAGGACCTGGCGGGGACAGAAGAAGAGACATGGATGTACATGCGCACGTAAGAGCTTAATTTTTTCCCATTACATCTTTTTCCACTTTAGAGGACCATTAGGATGGAGAAAAGAAAAGGAATGAGAAAGTACCACACGTGATGCACCATTTAAAGGTGATCACTGATGACATTTTCTCTTTTAAGATTTCAGTTAAGGTTTTGTGTTCAGTTTTTTTAATCTTACCTAATTGCAGTTGTATTCAATGTATAATTTTGAACCTTGGTGTTCTCGCACATTCCATTATAGCATAAATATTTTCTGCATTGGTACATTTTATAAATAAAATTTGAAGTGTCTGTAAAATATCCCATTGAGTAGTTCTGTCATAATTTGCCTTATCACATTTTCAGTTTTCAAGATATTTGAAATACTGTGATGAATATCTTTGTACATTTTTTAAAGGAGGATAAATTTGCTGAATTAGTAGATTAGGATGATCTAGTAAAAATAAAGATGTCTAGTATAATAACTACAGCAAAAGGATATGAACATTGACAAATTCTTGTACACACTCTTGATTTGATTTCAAATGTGTGTCTGCTCATCTGCCTCACTGCCTGAGAGGACAGTAGATACTGTAAGTGCTCAATATGCTTATTCACAATGGAATGCAAATGGGAAATAGCTTATACTGTGTGTATTGACTTAATAGCTATCATAGTGGAATGTTTTCCTGACTGTTTATTAATTAATTCATTTTTTTCTCTAAATGTTGTATTCATGTCTTTTGCCCATTTTAATTATCTGGAGAAAACATTATTTTTGTATCTAGTTTCCTTTTACATTGTAGACATTCTTTATATGTATCAAAAATGTCAACCTTTTATCAAAAATTCAACTCTTTCTATTAGTTACCTCCCTTCTTTCTTTCCTTCCTTTTTTGTGGTACTTGGGATTAAACTAAGAGCCTTGGTATCTCAATCTTTAAAAAAAAAAAATTTTTTTTTAAGTTTTGAGGCACAGTCTTGCTAAATTGCTAAGTTGCTTGGGTTATAGGCATGTACTATATATACCTGCCTAGCTATTTTCTTTTTTATTTTAAAAATTGAAAAAACTAACAAAACAACAGTGAAGACAAAATCAAAACAACACAAAAACAACAAAAAGATACATGACCTCAAAACAAAATGATAGGAATTAACAGTGGTCGCTACATTACATACTGTTACCTTCAACAAAGTTGCTCAGTCCACTGGATGTAAGAATGTAAGACTGACCAGAGAGTCAAAGACAGTAACAAGTAATAAAAAAAAAAAATTGAAAATGATGCAGAGCTTCACCTCACAAGATGGTTGGAGTTCAACAATGGTTCTTATACTGCATATTGTTGTTTTCAGATCAGTCATTCTGATTACCAAATTCAAGCATGCAAAATTGGTCAAGAAAAAAGAAAACCTTAAGCTCTGACTGTTCCTTTCAATAAACATACCAAAAATTTTTATTTTGAGATAGTCAAATTTATTTATTAAAATTTTTGAAATTTCCTTTTATTTTGTAGTTATGTAATCCTCCCTTCATTAAAGATTAGATATATACATGCTATTTTCTTCAAGTTCTGTTTGTTTTTTTTCTCTCTTCTCCAAATCAGCTGTAATTTAATTTGATGTATAGGGTGAGGTAAAGCTCTAAAATGGGTTTGTTTTTCCAAACAACTACTCCTTCAACACTATTTATAAAATAACTTCCCTTTTACCTGTTGACATATGATTAAAATAGGTCTATTTCTGGCCTATCTACCCATTCACTTTGTCTGCTTCTTGCATGGATACCAATCTGTTTTATTTTTTATGTATTTAGTATAGGTGATCAAGCCTTTTTGTCTTCTTTTTGTCTTTTAAAAATGCATTTGCTTTCTCATTTGTTACTTCTTTTGAATGACTTTTGTAATGATTTTTATGATGTTCTAAATAATTTCCTTTGCTATTTTGATTATGATTTTATTTTAAACCCTTAATTTAATGATTAGCTGCCTTTTTAAAATTTAAAAAAGTTTTTTTTTTTTTTTGTTTTTTTCTTGAGACAGGGTCTTGCAATGTAGTTCATCTGGCCTTGGACTCCCTAGTACCCCAGGGTGGCCTTGAACTTGTGTCAGTCCTCCTGCTTCAGCCGCCCAAGTGCTGGGATTACAGGTGTGCACCACCACACCTTAGCTGTCTTTGTTTTGTATCTGGATACAGTTTTCTGTTGTTAATAAACATTACCACAACAACTGTGGAGAACTATACTTCCAAGAGCAATAAAGTGCTCTTATGATTATCTTGGTGAAATTTCAAAGGCTCTTGTGAGGAGGACTGGCCAGATATTTTCTGTATTTTCCAAGTAGAAAGGTTGAGGCAGTGGTTACAACGTAACTGTCCAGGACAGACTGGAATAGATGAATATGTTTCTTGATTCTGCCACTACAAACTTCCTGGCATGTATGAGATGTGATCAAAATATATGGTGAATATTTAATTTTTAAAAAAGTTACTATAGTAACATTTTTACAAGTTGGCCTTCCTATGGGATGGCACTTGGCAGAAGCGTTCACTGAATTTTTTTGTTTGCAATCACACCCGCTAAAGACACTCATGAAACAGCACTTCAAGAGCTCATTCGGACAGTGGAAAGAATGATGGGACCAATTTTCCTGCTCTCTTTGAGGTCTTTCTGCATGCTAAGGCAAAGTGATAGGCAAAAATCAAACAAGAAAGGCCTAAAGAGTCCGCAGCTATATGTTTTCTGTCTGTCTAGATCGATTTAGACATGAAGGTAGCTAAGTAGATGATGGAAAGAGATCATAATGTATTTTGAGAGAATCTAGCTGGCATTATTTTGCCTTCATGAGTCAGTTCTCCATTATTTTGAATAAGATAGATAGATACAGGTAAGCTCCACCTCGGCGCCTTCCTCCCTTCCTACTTCCCTCTCGTCTACTGAAGCTAGAATGCATTTTTCCCTTGTGTGTTCCCACATCTTTTAACAAGTTATGAAGGCAAAAGCAATGAAGAATATGTATCATAGACTTGCTTTTTGCCTTGTTAAATTATTCTTAACTGTTACCCTATTCCTTTTTGTCACTTGCTTTTTCATGCCAGATATCATTTTTGTGGTTCATTCATCTTGACATATGCAGGTTTGGTGTGTTCCTTTATACTGCTGAGCAGTTTTCCTTGGTAGAAGTAAGCCAGCTTGATGGAAAACTAGGTTGTCTTTTGACTTTTCTCTATCATAGACAGTGTGCAAATGAACACACTTGCCCAAGTCTCTTAGGGTCAACCTTTCTGTAACGTGCAATGGATGGGTCATAGGATATAATGATGTGCTCAGAGCAGTTCTTCACATTGCGTACACATTGTTCTGTCTCTGGGTAGGTTTGGTCGCTGGTGCTCTTCCTTTGGTGCACTTGGAGTGGTCTGGAGGACTTGTTAAACACAGACACTTGCCCCTACCTTCCGTTTCCTGAGGCCCGAGTTGGGGTCTGAGGATGTGCATGTCTAACAAGTTCCTAGGTGACATTGTTGCCAGTAACCCATTGATCCTACTTAGAGACCCACTGGGTTAGGTTAAGGCAAATCTCACTGACTTAGGGACAACAAAATCCCCTGCTCACAGTCTCTAACCTACAGAGATGAGGAGCGGCTCTACACCCTGCGGCCATCACAGAGTCATGAGGACATCTGTCCATTTGCTCACTGTTTTCTTGCTCTTCTGCAGCCCAAGCATTGCATGGCACTTGGATCCCCTGGATTCTCAGACCATTTTTTACTATTATTTTTTTTTCTCCTTGGAAGTGCATGGAATGTTCAGTGCCACTGGTCTGAAATGTCACAGGGATTTGCTCCTATGTGTCTGTTTTTAACTGCGGGGCTTGGAACTTGGTGGGTGATTTCATTCTGGAGAGTTATGGTCTATTTTGGGAAATCCTCAGTTAATCCTTTGATATTTTTATGCTCTTCATTTCCTCTCTTCCATCTTTCTGGAACTCCTCTTTTGTCAGCTTACTTGATCTATTGATTAATCCTCTTAATTTTCTTTTCAGTGTATCCTATCTCTTTTGAATTGTTTTATTTTCCAGAAGAATTACTTAACTCTATAGCCTAACCCTTCTATTACTTTTACATTTCTGTCCTCATATTTTTTAAAAATAAGCTTTGTTTTTCAGAACAGTGGAAGCTGAGAAGAAATTGTGAATACAGCATTCCCAGATACTCTACACTCAGTTCCTGCTATTTTTAACATCACATTAATATGGTACATTTGTTACAATTAATGAACCAATATCAAGACGTTTTAGCTAAAACTTAGTAAGGATATCCTTAGTTTTTACTGAATTTCCCTTTCCTATTCCTGAATCCTGTCAGGAGCTTACGTGACAGTAGAATACAGTTCCCTGGGATTTGTGTGTTTTTCTCATGATTACACGGGGGCTGTGTGGTCTGGGGAGGAAGACCCTAGCAGTAAAGTGCCACTTGCCCATGTCAACTCGAGGTTACAACTATCAACATGACTGACTTCTGTTAACATTGACCGAGGCAGCTTGTATTTGTCAGCTTTCTCCACTTGGAAGTCTACCCCTGCTCCTTATACTTGAACTCTTTGCAAGCATACAGCAGCTTTGCGTACACGCTCCACAGGACTCAGGCTGCAGCTCCTTGGAGGGTTCTAGCATCATCTTTGCAGTTCCAAGAGCTCTTTCCTCCTAAAACTACTGCTTTAAGTAATCTTGTGTATTATGCTTATGTTTGTAATAATTTCCCTTTTCTTTCTGTGGACATTACAGCTTTTCAGAAGTTTTCATTCTGCATTTTCCTCCTCCAAGTTCTTTCTCTTAATGCTTGTTTTATTCAGATTAGAACCTCTCCCCAGATGTTTGTTGATTCTGGGGTAGCTGTTCCTATTTTAAAGCTGGGGCATTAGGAAGCTGATGGGAGCTGTATAGAAGTGAGACTTGTGGTCCTGGCGCAACTGGCTGGCTGGTTTCAGTGGATATGTTAATTTCTTGTGGCTGCGCTAAGAATTTACCATGCAACCTGGGTGCAGGGGCACATGCCTGTATTCCTGGTTAATTGGGAGGCTGAGGCAGGAGGATTGCAAGGTTGAGGCCAGCCGGGGCAACTTAGTGAGACCTTTTTGCAAAATAAAATTTACAGAATAGCTGGGAATATAGCTCAGTAGTAGAGCACTTGCCTAGCATGTGTGAGGATTTAGGTTCAATCCTCAGTATTGAAAAATAGTTACCACACACCTGATGGCTTAACATATGCTCATTCTCATGGCTCTGAAGGCCAGATATCAGGGCTCAGTCTCTCTGGTTGGCAACAAAGTGTCAGCAGGGCTGTGCTCCCTCCTGAGGCCCAAAGGAAGAATCTGTCCCCTACTAGACACGGTCTAGCAGCAGCTGGAATCCCTTGACTTGTGGCCATACCACTCCCATCTCTGTCTCTGTGACACACAAGCCAAAGCTGTCTCTGTCTCCATCACTCTGGAGTTGATTAGAAATGCAGATCCTCAGCCAGACCCCAGCCCTTCTGGATCATGCTCTCTTGGGATGCAGCCTCTCTGGTGCTCTGATGTTTGCCAACACTTGAGAACTAACAGTTGTGGGGCCCATCTGACCTCTTCCGTCTTTCCCCCTTAGCACTGGTCTCCTTGAGGAGGGGGTGGATCGCTGGCCCGCGGGCATCATCTCAGGCCACAGTGCTATCTGGAGAAGGGCAGGAGAACACTCACCATGTATCTGTCTTAGAAGTGAATATTCCTTCCATGAAGGCCTCGGGAGGCATCCATTTGACGGGGAGCATGGCACAGCCTCCCTTTCTGTAGTAGCTGGCTCTGTGGGGAGGAAGGAGGAAGCAAGCTTGGCTCTGCAGATGGCACTAAGCAGAAGCTCTGCCAGGAAACTTGAGAAAGTGTCAGCAACACCCTCTACCCATTAAAGGATTGAAATTAACGAGGGGTCCTTGGTGACTCAGGAAGAGAGCAGGGGAGCACAGATCATTTAGTTAAGAACTTTGGTGTCATTTAATGGCCCGCTAGAGGCAGGAAGGGAAAGATGTATGCAATGACTAAGATCCCCGCTAGCAGATGTTTAGATTTCCCTATTGGGTTTTGTTGATTATAACTCACAGTGAATAACATTACCCCAACCTTAGAAGTACAGTGTGTTTCTGATGACCTGCAGTAATGCAAGACCCAGAATGGGAGGGCTGCGAGCTGGGGCTGTGTCTCACTCTTTCTGGATCCTCCATGGCACTCATCCGACAGCATGGAGTTCAGCAGGGGCTGTCATCAAATAACCTTGATGACTGGCAGGAGATTGCTTCCCCAAACACATTTGGGTAGGAGAACACAGGACTAGGCATGCAGTTAGCTTAAAAGGTAGAGGAGTTGATTGCGTTTTCACCAGTACTGTCATTAATAAAACTCTGATGAAAATGAATAAATAGACTCATCTACCTTTAAGCCAGCACCACACATAGCCTGGTGTTCTGCTGTCTGGGTGTGTTATGGGAGGCAGCTTCCCACCAGCTGCCTACATTAATTACTTCAATAAATATGTACTGAGAGTTTAGTATGTATCAAGTAACTCTGACATGTGCTGAGCTCATAAATAAGTCATAGTCTCTCTTGCTCCCGAGGCTACAGTTTAATGGAAGAAACACACATCTGCAACTGCAGCACACAGCAACACATATAGTAACAGGGACGGGGCAATATTCAGTGACACAAAAGAAGGAGTGATCTCTTCCATGTCAGATGGGGGTAAAGCACAGGGAAAGCAGCTCAGAGGGGCACTGATGGAGCTGGGAGGCCCAGGGGCTCTCTTGGAAGACCATTCTGACCCACAAAGGGACAGGTATGTGGGGAACGGTGGGGCTGTAGGTAAGCTGGGTGGTTTAAGCCTAGAGACGGGGAGGTGTAATGGTGTGGATCTTAAATGTACCCCAAGATCCATGTGCTGATGGCTTGGTTGGCAGCCTGTAGGGCTACTGAGAGGTGTGGAACCTTTAGGAGGTGAGGCCTAGTGGAAGGAATGACATCATTGTGGGTGCGCCCTAAAAGGGGAGATTGGGACCCAGTCCCCTTCCTTCTTCCCTCTGCCTTCCAGCTGCCATGAGGTAAATAGAGCTCAAGCCCAGAACAACAGTGCCAAGGGACCATGGACTGAAACCTCCCAAACCATGAGCCGAAAATAAACTTCTTCCTCATTTTAAATTGATTTATCTCAGGTGTTTGTCACGGAGACAGAAAGCTGCCTGACACAGAGCTGTCAGAAGAGAGGCTCTGGTAAGAAAGGACGAGCTGGCTAATGTGCTGCAGCTTGTGGATATTAAAATGGAGGCAGTCAAGGTATTCTGAGAAAGTAGAGGGGAGGAGCTCTGAGATTCTGGGTGTAGAAAGTAGAGTGGTAATGCCAGGCATGGTGGTGCACACTTGCAATCCCAGAACTTGGGAGGCTGAGGCAGGAGAACTACCTCAAGTTCCAGACCAGCCTGGGCTACATAGTGAGTTCAAGGCCAGCCTGAACTATATAGTGAGACTCTGTCTCAAGCAAAACAAAACAACACAGAGCAAAACAAAACAAGTAGAATGGAGCTCTGGAAAGTCACATAGTGATAGTGGTGGGTGGCTCCACGGAGCTGTGCCCGACTCCATCATCCTTATACTGCTCTCCCAGCGGCAGGGTGGTAGCAGCACCATCATCCCTCTGGAGCTTGTTTCCAGTTCTGACAGAGCCCTCACAAGTGTCGGGATCATCTCACTAAGTCTCCAGACAGTTAAAGCTCTATGTAACCATCTCCCTACTACTCCTGTGAGTTAGGGAAGGGGTTAATCAGTGACCATGCGCAGGAACTATGTGCTCAGGGCTTGTAACGAGTCACAGTTGTATCTACTTAGAAAAGGGAGCTAGGAGGTTGGAAAGAGGAGAGTGATAGAAAGTACCATAGAAGTATTATTTCTAAAATCTAAGATTAATTTATTATTTTTTATGTTGCCTTGGGCATATCACAGAGAAAAAAAAGTGAAGCTGAGCTAAGTCCATCCCTGTGGGCTTTGAATCCACTCCAGTGTCCCTGAGGGTGGGTAAGTCTGACCACTGAGCTGGCCCAGTATCGTTAGTGCAGGGTGCTTGGGCCTGTGATGGACTCTACTGCATCCTGTTAGAATTCCCGAGTACTGAGGGGAGGGGTTAAGTTATAAAGTTCACTTGGGACTTTTTATATCAAGTATCCAAATTATTCCGTGTCTCAGAACATGGCAGGATTAGAGAGTTGGAACCAGAGAGACAACCCAATTAAGCACTTCACGTCAATTACTGCAGGCAGTGGGATCCAGAATTAGACCCTCAGGCATGGGCACTAATTAAGGTTTCCCATATCCTGAAAGGAAATCACTGAAATTTCACAGGGGAAGTTGACAGAGTACCAGGAGATGATGTAAGGTAGAAGTAGCTGCAGCCACTCCTTTGAGAGGATGGGGTGGGGAGTGGGGTGAGGCTTTCACAGGGGATGGCAGTCCACCCACCTGTAGATGTCTCGGGCCATCCCAAAGTCTCCAATCTTTGCTATTCTTCCACTGCCAGGACAGGTCAAGAGGCAGTTCCTGGCAGCAATGTCCCTGGGGAGAAAAAAAATGAGAAAATATGTCTCTGAATTTTGTTTTGGGAAGATAAATGTGTCATGTGCATCACTAGGGTTTTCACCTCCAAGATGAAGTTTAGACAGCTCTTTCCTCTGCTCTGTTTCTTTGTTATATTAAACTCTGTGGAAGAAATAAGCCAATTCCAAGCCTCAGAACTAATAGGGAAATGGAAAAGAATTAGGGGAAATTACTGAAAATGCTTAACAGGACAATAGTAATCAAAATAACCGCAACAGGAAATAGAACTTATTAACCTTTTACTATGTGCTAAGCATCATTCTAGATGTTCCGTGTCTAATTCTCATAACAACCATGTAAGATATAGGGGGCTTTAGTCACCATTTTGTTAAAAATGTAGGCTAAAAGCAGATAATCCAGGAGCAGAAAAACTGCTGCTTGGCAGGAAGCTATTGTCGTGTACAGACTACAGGATTATTTTTGCCAGTCATTTGAAGAAGTGTTCCAGAACTGTGTGCCTTCCAGGATATCAAATTCAAGTAGGTTAAGATATTCCCAAATATTTCTAGCTGGAACCGTTATGGTTCTCACACCCATGATTGTATGTAAAGTCTTTGCCAAGCTGCATGGCTGAGGAATTACTTTTTTGAGGTTATGAAGCTGGTTTCTTCGGAGTCAGGCTCCAGATGGTCCATTTTCCTATGGTGTGCCCCTGAGGCCCGACGGGAAGCCTTCCAAGACTTGTCCACTCTGACTGTTGGACTGTGTGCCCACTGACATGCATGTGGGAATAAGGGCCACAGCCAGACGTTTGGAATGGGTCTTTAATACTATTCAAGTCCTGTGCAGAATAAACAAGAATTACCTTATGAGGGACAGATGGTGTTTTCATATTTCAACTGGTTTCATCAAGGTTCTGATTCTTGGTTGAGAAAAAACTTGGAGCATGAACAACTGGCTGTTAAGATAGTATTTATAAAAATAGCACTTGGACTGTGGATCGTGGCTTAAGATGCCAGACCAATGGACTGGCATGGGCCGTAGATGTTGCTAGTGTCACTAACCTGATCCATAAGGTTGAAGTTGAATTTTGAAGGTCAGTGGCACATAAAATGCTGTAAAAAAACCATAACGGCATAATGTAGACGGCATCAAAAAGAAGAAAAAATAGCTGGATATATAGCTGCTGATTCTCAAGAGAAATATAGTGAAATAGACCAGGAACAATATTTATGGCTCCAGAAAGGTCTTTATGCTGACGCATATGAAATAGTTGCTTAAAAAGTGATCTTGAGCTTGATGACAAGAAAGTAAACGTAATATCATGGAACATACTCGGAATTGGTAGAACAGCACATAAGTCTTAAAGTTGTAGTAAATCATGTGCAAAAGAAACAGAGTTAACGAAATAGATGGGAGCATGAGCCTCTAGTGAGAGGGTTCCACTGTGAATTCAGAAAGTGTATGTGTCCAGAAGTCCGTGAATCTTTAGGGCAGATAGACAGGAGAAGAGGAGTACAGGTAGTTCTGTTATGGGAATATGCCATTCTCCTCTTCGCTGGTTGGAAGACAGGAAAGAGGCTTTCCTATTACAAATTACCAAATGACGCCAGAAGGAAAGTTGTGATGGAAATGAGTGACTTTTGCCAGATGTTTTGTTTTGCATAAAATAACTCTGTCTGATCATTCTGAATTTTATCTTTGACAATTTAATCCCTTCAAAAAAGATAAAAGAACAAAGGGTCACTCCGGGATCGAATTCCCCCTTTCAGTGACTAGTTACAGAGTTCGAAGTGATAAGACTCTTAGGAGAATGTGATCCTTCATCTCCTCACCTCTAACAGAGCGTGGGATGTTGCCATAATGTGCCATGTTGTTAGGAAAGTAGATTCCAAAAATGGGGCCCTTCTGCCGGAGACTCTGAATGCTCTGGTGCAGAATGTAGGTGGACATGCCAGAGCAGAATTCATCTCAGTGAAAAGTGGAAGGACATGTTTGAAGTCACCAAAGCGTCACACAGGTTGCTCTCAGAAGGACATGGAGAAAAGATGGAAAAGATGGTTCTAACCAAGGATAACTTTCAAAGAGAGTACCACCTTGTCGTGACCGAGCAGCATTAGAGCTCAGCTGAGATTTATGGAAAGTTCTGGGCCTAATGAAAAGGGCAGAAATAGGACCAAGTGGCACTTTGTAGCAGACTCCGCGGCTTTGGGTGAGGACAGGGAGGCCTGGTCCCAGCTCATCTTTTGCTTTGATGATGTCTGTGAAGCCACATGATCCACAAATGAGAAAGGGGTAGAATCAAGGGGAAGAGCTGCAGACCGAAATGATGGGGCAGCAGTGGAGGGATGAGCTAGGCTGAGGGAGGTCACTGCTTGGTGTTGGGAGTGACACTGGAACGGAGGTCAGTGGACTTCTGAGCCTCCAGTTCCCTCATGTTATCAGGGAGATAGAAAGCAGAGTTCATTACACAAGCATACATTTCTACTTCTAAACTCATACTGCAACTCTCATTTTCCACTTTGTAATTACATATTCTCATTATTATGAACATCCCTTACCCTCTTTGAAGACATGGGTTAATAACTGTGAGTCCACCAGGCTTTTATTAAATTAGAAGCAAATCATTAGGTGAGCTTTGCAAAGAGCCCAATGCTCTATTTCGCTTTTCAGTTTTCAGATCAAGCTGTCATCAACATCCACAGGGAAAGAAAAATGAGATCTATGATGTTCACAGCATTAAGTGTGGATGTGATGCCCTGGTCTAAACAGCATTTCAAGAACTGTGTGCGGCAGGGGAAGTGACATACAGAAATAAAGGAAATAATTATTATACCTTATTTCAGAGTATGTCAGAAAAATTTAATTTATCCAGCAAACATTTACTGTGCCCCAAAACAGGCCAAGGATATGGAGATAATGCAAACATTGTCTTTGCCTCTGAGTCACCCATTGTCCAATCTGTGAACATATGAACTTTAACTTTCACTCAAGCCCAGTTTTCTAGATGGGGAAACTTAAGGTGATACAAGACTTGAGTGTTCAAGACACAGGCAGGACTGCTCACAGGTCACAGGGCTCACAGATCACAGGGCATGGATTTCATGATGCCCTCTTTGGGGACTGTGGAAGCCTGGAAGACGCAGCTCCCTCACAAAGCTGACAAAGCTGGATCATCCAGGCAGCTCTGGGGAGAGAGACCAATGGTTCTGCTTTGAAGGGGGCGCCCTGGCCTGTGGGACATGCAGGGAAGGCGCACAAGGCAGTGTGGGGAGCGATCGTGGTCACTTTGACTCACCGGTGGATGAAGTGGTTTTCCTCTAGATACTGACAGCCACAGGCAATGTCCCGAGCCACATGCAGAAGGTCCAGCATGGCCAGGGAGGAGGGCTGACTCTGTGGGGAGACAGAAGAGACTGCTGATGGAGCTCTTGGGGAGCAGGGAAACTGATTTCTGCTTAGAAGGAGGCTGAACAGAGCCATGGCTCTGCCGGGGTTTTGGCAGTGGCTGTACACTAGAAATCCCCTGGGGTTTTAAGCATACAGATGCTCAGGTCCCAACCCAGACCCAGAAATTCTCCCTAGAAGGCACAGTTTCCATGTTTGGAAACTTCCCAGGGGAGTCTAACACCAGCCAGGGCTGGGGATGCCCGAGCCACAGGAATACAGCATGGGGCAGATGTCCTTTCCCTTGTAGTGTATCTGCACATCCTTCTATTTTAACCTCCATAAACAGTTTAATGCCCTCCTATTTATAAACAAGCCTGTATGGAAACCAAGGGAGAGTAACACAGTTTTAAATGCCTTAAATTATTTTTAAAATTTAATTTCCACCAAGAATATTCAGACCTAAAGTGAATTAAAAAAAGAAAAGCTTTTGGAAAATAATGGGCAATTAAGAGCCATCTCTAGCTGTTCTATACAGTCTCTTTAATGCAGAAGGAAGTTTCACCCCAACTGTGGGACACTTTCTGTCTTGGCCTTTGGGACAGCCAAGAAGTCTTTCTGAAGGTGACATCCACTCTTGGTCTCACTGTTAATTAGTCACAAGGTAGGACTGTTTCATATTCACTTTGTTGTGTTTTAGTCTGTGTTGATTTTACCGTATCCCCAAATGAATTTTGAGGTCTCTGATGCAGGGATGCATCTTTCTCTTCCATGGCATCCCACACAAAAATGGGCACATTCTGGGTTATTTAGTGAGCATGGGGGGGTGGGGTGGCAGTGCTGATTTGTTGATAATAGCTCTGGACTATGATTTACCTAAAGCAGTATGTTTCAAATAGCTAAACAGAAAAGCAGAAATAGGCAATCATAGCAAATCCCCAGCAATGGTCTGAATGAATGTCCCCCCAAAGGTCCGTGTGTTATGTGGATGATCCCCAGGGTGCTGGTATTGGGAGGTGATAGAAGCCTTTGAGAGCTGGAGCCTCATGAAAGGTCCCTGGCTCACTGGTGCACTGCTCTTGAGGGAGATTATGGGACCTCAGTCTGCAGTTTCTCTCTGTTTCCTGGGCGACGATGTACATGGCTTGCTCTGCCTTGCACTTTGGCCATGATGTGTCACCCTTGCCGCTGGCCCAAAGCAATGGGGCCACCTAGTCTTGGATTGGAATGTCCAAAACTGTGAACCAAGATAAATCATTTTGTAAAATAAGCTGATTGCCTCGGGTGTTTTGTTATATCACTTGAAGCTGCTTAACACATTCCTTTATTTCTGTGTTGAATTGTTTAAGCCCTAGAGAGATATAAAGTTGGTAACTCTGGACAAACTCCTGGCAGGAAATTTCTGCCTGTAGGGCTGCTGATTTGCTCCTCTGCCTAAGGTCCAGAGCCCTTTCACCCTTGTTTTGCACTGGACCCCCAAAGATAGGGCAAAAACCTCGTTCTTTAATTCTGAGGTGCCCATAGGGAATCATGCAGCCAGAAGGCAGCAGGATGACCGACACAGACGGAACATCACAGAAACAGGACAAACTCACTCATGCGCCATTAAGATGTTATTCATGAAAAGGGAGATTTGTATTTCATTCTGAGATAGTCAGGACTTAGAAACTACTTTTGCTGAAAAATAGTGACTCTTCTCTTGGGCCTACGGATATCAATGGGTAACCAAAAGCGACAAAGCTTGACCTCCATTTTGTATGTTTCCTTTATTACCTTAGAATGTTGGGTCAGACCTTTGCTGCATGTAGATATGTTTGTCATTTAGGGAGCGTCTGTCTAAAAGTGGCAAAGCAAGGGCGATTATCCCCAAGTTTACATAACCTATATTATCCCCCTTCAAGACTGAAGACACCATCATGTGAGATTTACAGGGACATTCGACTGCCAATGAACACCAGTTAGTCTCCAGTCATTGCCCTAAACCTAGGGTCACCTTGGATTCCAGCAGAGCCTCCACAAAACTGAGATGGCCCCAAGCATAAATAGCATCTCAAGGAGAGTGGATTGTGTCCTCAAGTAACGAAGACTTCTCCCCAGCGCCATCTTGCACAACCAGAAGTGAAAAAATGATCAGCCAGACTCTAGGCCCCTTTAGCCCATCCTGGTGTCACGGGGTGTGGTTGTGCACACCTGTAATCTCAGCACTAGGGAGGCTGAGGCAGGAGGATCACTATGAGTTCGAGGCCAGCCTGGGCTACATAGTGAGTTCAGAGCCAGCCTGAACTATATAGTGAGACCTCGTATCAACCGACCAAGCAACCAATCAACCAACCAACCAACCAGCCAGTCAAATGGCTGACCTAATTCTCTTGTGAATGGGCCAGTCTGATCTTCTCCATCGGAGCTGTGTCCCTTTCATCTCCTCAAGCTGAAGTCCCTTCCCTATTTCCTCTTACTTTCTAACTCTGTCTAGAACATATGCCTGTGCCGTTCAGCAGCACATCCTGAAGTGCTCTTTCTGCGACAAGATTTGACAAATCTGTGTCACTAGGCAAGCTGAGCTCCCCTGCCTCCTCTTTGCAGTGGCCTCCTCAGACTGCATCTAGCAACAAACCCAGGGTCTGGCTGCAGACTCAGCCTTCTGGGTTTTCTCTGCCCTAGACCAGGCCTCCCCAGGATCCCTTGCAGCTCTGGTTTGGGTCTCGAGGAAGCAGAAGAAAATCCTGCAACTCAGGGCCAGACGTTAGCTCTGAGGAGACAACTTAGGCAGAAGAATCTTCTGCTGCTGCCTGCAGTTCTCTAGTTCCAGTTCATGTACAAACTCTCCTTTGAGTCAATGGGCTGCGTGGTAGATAGGGAAGAAAGGAATTCCTGTACTAGGATAAGAAGGCTGCAGACACCAAGTGACCCCCTCATGGTACACAACTAATAAAGAGTGGAGTCCAAACTGCCCATAGCTGGGCTAAGAGAATCTGGGTTAGAGGAGGCAGGATTTAAGTAGTTAAAATTGCGCTGCTTCTTAGGAGAGGGTCAAAGAACGGATGGAACATGGGTGAATAGAGGATACAATGCAGCTCACACATGCGGCCAGGTGAATGGTATATATCAGCAGTCACTGGAGCTCACCTGGGCTTTACCCTGCTCCTTCATTCCCTATTGCTCAGCCTCTCTCTGGACCAGGCTTCTCTCGGGTGATGGTCTCTGATACTGTGGGCCTCACCGGCTTGTTGGGAGGACCCCAAAGAGCCACAGGCCACCTAGGGACCTACAGTCTATCTAGGGCTGTGGCAGCGGTGGGGCTCAGGGTTCCTCCTGTGTGTGGCTGCTCCAGAGGCTCTTGTAGGGTCTGAAATACTGGGCACTGTGAGAGAGACAGCCTGAGCTCCCAGAGGAAAGCACTTTCAAGGGAAGTAGCCATCCATGCTGCTGCAGTATTACAGAGACCTTTTCTCTCCTCAGCAAAATGCTCCCTGTTCCTGCCAAAGGACTGTCTTGGCTGTGACAGAGCCTTGAGGAAGAGCCTCCATCCCTTGAGCCTCAGCCTCCAGCGCCTAGGATGCCTGGACCATTGATGTGTCAAAGGCCCAGGAACTAAGTGCTGCAGGGATGGTATCTTGCCAGGTTTTAGCTTGGGGCCAGGTTTATCAGGGCTCCCTGCAAATTACCTGCTTCACCAGTCTGCACAGAAGCAGGAAATCAGCAGCTTGCAGTGTGGGGTATCTGCAGTGCTTTGTGTATGCGGCGTGTGTGTGTATGGTGTGTGTGTATGTGTTTGGCATGCGAGTGTGCATGGTGTGTGGAGTACAGTGAGGTATGGATGTTGTGGTAGAGCCAACACCTACCCTGAGCAGTGCGGGGCAGAGCTAGCCTGTGTGCTGCCATCTGTATCAGATCAAGGGCCAAGATGACATTGGAATCTGGGTTTTATCCCCGACTGGTTCCCGGGGTGTAACAGTTCCTTCCGGACTGAGATATTCTTCACACTGCAGCACTGTGCTGGGGACATACCCTGAGGGGGCTTTGAGAAGATCTTGCCCAGGCTTCCCAAGTGGGGTAGATCTTGAAGATGAAAGGGGTTCGGGCGTTCCAGGGCCAAGGAGCTTCTCTGGACAGGAACGACCAGACCAGTCTTTATGTTACTGTGGGCTGAGAATCAAGAGGAGCAAGTGGCTCTGAAAGTTGTTTGGCCCCAGGACTCCTGCGTGTGTGACCTTGCAGCACTTTCTGCACAGGTTGTCTTCCTTACAGGAAGGCTCGCTTGGTGTCGCAGCTTCTGTGAGATTACTCCCGAAACACAATATGAGCCATGGTAATAAAATGCACAGTGATATTGACATTTCTGTTCCTCCCTTTTTGTCAGAGGTTGGGGAGGTTGGGGATTGAACCCGTCGCCTCGTTGCACGCTGGGCAAGCACTTTACCCCTGAGCTACAGTCTCAGCCCTCTCCTTTTCTACTTTATAGAGTTGAAGCCGCGCAGGATGTGGGGGAAGGAACTCTTCCACCAGCTGAAAACTAGAACAGGGATAGATTTTAAAAATCAATGCATGTGAAGATGAACAGGGAAGATGAAAGAAAGAAGCAAAGAAAGCAGACGGGGAACACAAAATATAAAAAGCAGCCAAAGTCTATTTTGAAAAATGATGAGAAGTTCTTGCTTCTGGACCCTTTTGATCCCTGCTTCTTGATGAGGACGGAATTTTCTTTGGGAAGAGATGGCCCTTCATGGATTTGGAGCCAGCGCAGGTATCGCACAGCCTGAACATAGCGAACACAGTCCGAGTTGGAGGTTCTCACCTGCAGACAGGGGACCTGTAGGGTCCAAGAAGCCATCTGCACCCTGAGCACCCATTACCTACAGGTGGGTCTCACTGTGTGCCAGATACATACAGGCATGAATGTGGTTAATGACCTATATCTTTAATTATGAGGTAACTGACTTATTAGTGGCTTTTGCTATTATGGACTGAATCAACAGATATTAAAAGACACCTATTACTGTAGCTGGCATACAGTAAACCCTCAATAAACACATGCTGAGTAAATACAGGTTCTGCTTTTTTTTTGTAGACAAAAAAATTTAGAAAAAGGGCCAGGCATGGTGGCACATGCCTGTAATCCCAGCACTCGGGAGGCTGAGGCAGGAGGATCTTTGTGAGTTCGAGGCCAGCCTGGGCTACAAAGTCAGCTCAAGGCCAGCCTGAACTGCATAGTGGGACCCTGTCTCAAAAAGACAAAAAAAGAAAAAGGGACCCAAGTTCTTGGAAAGGTGCTGCTCTTCCTCCTATCCCGAAAGCCCTTGGATTTGCCGAGAGCTGGGTCCCCAACTCCCCTTGCAGGATGGTTTCTCTCCTCTGCAGGTGCAGCACTGTCTTTCCTCAGACCCGTGTCTCCCCAAAGTGTGATGCCACGTGTGCCCCCTGTGACCTCTCCCAGCAGCTCTGCTAAGAATCTCAGGGTGTGAGGGACCCACCTGGCTGGGTGGTGTGGGCGAGCTAGGGAAGCTGATGCCCAGGCCCTGGCAGAGATGTCTGGACAGCTGGCAGGGTTGACTCTCAGCTTCCCAAAGAGGACCATTTGGATAAACAGCCGGGGAAGCTAGAAGAAGCTCTCAATCGGAGTCACAGTGCGGGGTTCTAGTCCCAGCTTTTCTACTTCCTGTGTGGCTTTGGCAAGTCAATAACCTCTCTGGGCCACAGATTCCTCCTCTGTAAAGTGCAGGTGAGCCTGCTGTGTCCACCCATACAGTAAGGCTGAATGATATGAAGGTTGTGAGGGTAACAGCGTGATGAGGGTGAGGTGGTCATCCCTGCTCCCCGCCGCTTGCCAGGGGTGCTCACTGCACGGACACTCATGTCTACACTGGATTCTTCTTAGCGGCTGAGACAGGTCATCCCCAAACTTGCAGAAAACAGCATGGAGGTTCCTAAGGCAGAGGTATTTGAAATTGAACCTGACTGAGGTAGAGATGGGAGCGGCCATGACCTGCCAGGGTTTTTGCCCCCGCGTTCAGTCCCTGCGAGGTGGCTGGCCTGGGTTCTCTGTAGCAGAAAGGGTGTCAGGCTGTCTCTGCCTCCCTGGGAGGAGAGGAGGCCACTGCTCTGACTGCGTTCTTCTTCTGATGCTGACTCCTACCCTGGGGGTGTTTCACGATGTCAAGAAACTCTGAGACGCTCTAGTCTGACCCTCGGGATTCACCTGTATGGATGCTGAGACTATGGGGCAGAGCTCCCTAGGCCACACAGCACCTGATGGCCATGTAGGGGGCTGCGCCACCCCAGGTTCTCCTTTCTTATCCATAGCACCCCACGTGCATGCTAAATATTCCATCACTTTTTTTTTGCAGTAGAACTACAAGGTTGGGAGGTGGGTTGTTATTATCCCTGTTGAGAGACTAGGTCAGTGAGTTTGCAGTGAGTGGATGGGGCACAGCACCCAGATTACTTGTCTGAGTTAGTGACATGGCTGGCATGAAAGTCCCTCTCCAAGTTTGTCTTGAGCTTGGTGTTCCAGAGTCAGGAGGCCATAAACAGGGAGTCAGTCTCCAGAATCCACCACACAAGCCCTGCACAAACTCCCTGGGGCTGGGGCTCAGCCATGCTCACCTTCGGTGCACCCTGTCCCAGCCCAAACCCTCATCTGAGCCCAAGGGTGCCACCTGGCCCCCTACGCGGGCTCCTCCCCTTCTCACTCACTGGGCGAGGCCGCGTCTCCCGGAGGAAGGACTTGAGGTCTCCTCCTGTCATGAGCTCCAGCAGGATGAAGCGGGGCAGGGCTTGCAGGCTCACCCCGATGCAGCGCACAATGTTCTGGTGGTTGAATTTGCTGCAAGCAGAGGGGTGCAACAAAATTTAACAGAGCTATGTCTGGGATAACTGTAAGTGAGAGAAGCAGGATACAAAGTCATGCTTTCAGCAGCCATGCTGTGCAGATGCATTCTGTAGATATGGGCAGTGGGGTCCCCTGCTGAGCCTATGGCCAACCTCCCTGCTGAGAAGGTGGGAGCCAGGCCAGGCTTTCCAGGAGCTTGGTGTGCAGGAGAGTGGGGTGGGAGGGGATGATGTTGTGCAGGCTTTGGGTGAGGAGGCAAGTGTGTGTGTGTGTGTGTGTGTGTGTGTGTGTGTGTGTGGTGTATCTTTTAGATATGCGTGAATTCTTGGTTGAGTTCTCTGAGGAAGGCCTCAGGCAAAAGCTAAGAAGATTCTAAGAGGGACTTTGTGAGAACTTCCCGGTGGCAGCATGTGAGACAGAGCTAGGAAGAGAGGACAGGCTCCATGGTCCGTGCTGTCACTGGTAGATTGCTCACGGGCAGGGACTGAGTTGGGACAAGAGACCCCAAGAATTGGGTTGTCTTGTTAACACGATCCTAAGAGGATATAGAGGGCATTGAGGTTAGGACACTTCACACGGACATGTACAACACATACACACACATACACCCCTGCCCTCTTGCCCAGGGCCTGCGCAATATCCTCCACACACACACACACACACACACACACACACACACACACATACACACACACACAGTTGAGAGACTAGGTGACTATCCATTGAAAAATAATGGCTAATTATTGGCGAATAGTGAGATTGAGTGAGTGAGTTGGCTTTCCTCCATATAATCTTAACTTTCCAAGTTTTACTTGATAATCATGCATTAATAATCAGGCATTATGATCAGAAAATAAATGTTAAGTTTAAACTAAGATGTTGTCCTCCATGCATATCCTTCTGGGTATCTGGAGCCCACAGCATCTCACTCACACTGCTCTGGCCCTGCCACCTCCACTATGGGGACACCCCAATCCACCCCCACCTGTCAGGATATTTGATGGCTTCCAGGGGCCCTGAGCTCACCAGAGCTTGGGGAAAAAACATCCGCCCTTTCCCTAGGGGATGTGCTGTCAGAGTAGCCACCCTCGGGGATCTCAAGGACTGAGATTCTTAGTGGTATCTGGGTGAGAGCCACACGGTGAAGGCTGCGGCCTGCAGCCTCATGGTAGACATAGGGTGGAGGGGTCCTCTGTCATGTTAGAGGCAGGATTCTTTCACATCTTCACATTGATAAACTTGGATGGACAAAGGACGCTGGTTCTGAAAGAGTCACTTGAGAACCAAGAACTAGTAGGTGATAGCAGGGATATCGGCTGCAGACAATGATAGCAGTCTGATTACCAGGCCACACTAGCATTTTCTGAGACAACCTCTGGGGGTTTCTGCTTTGTAAGATGTGTCATGAAGAACAAGGGTCTTCTCTGGGGGCCCCATTCCCCTTGGAGATAGAGATCTATCTTTAGAAACATCTCTGTGTTCTTCAGGGGGAGTGGCAGCAGCTGGGAGTCTCTGGCTTTACCTGATGATCAGAGCTTCCATGAGGAAGTCTAGTTCGTCCTGTTCTGAGCACACTTCCGGCAGCGTCTGTGCACAGAGGGAGAGGGTGGGAAGAAGGCAGCTGTGAGCTGAGAGCCGACGTCTACAGAGAGACCGAAGGCCAAGGCCGGGCCCAAGAGGAAGCCACCTCTCACCTTCACAGCCACTTGCAGGGGGCTCGGATCGTTGGGCATCCCAGACACCTGGCCTTCATACACCTCCCCAAATGCACCATGGCCCAGACCCCTGCACAAGAGGAGGCAAGATGAGGCAGAGTTAGGAGACCCACAGTAAAGGGGCAGCTGGGGCCCGAGTCCAAGGGTCACAGGTAGCAGATGCACACAAGAGGCAAGGGGTGACCTACAACTTAGGAGCAGCACTTTCATCCTGGCCTTGCTGTGTGATCCTGGGCCTCCATTTCTCTATCTGAAATCTGGTAAGCAATGTTCTGCTATGGTTTGCTTGTGTCCGCTAAGGTTCGTGTGTTGAAAATTAATTCCATTGTGAGGTATTGAGAGGAGCTTGATTTAACTATGGTGTTTAGAGCTGGGGAGGTGATTAGGGTTACACTGGCTCATTAACATGGGGCCTTGCTGGGGGTAGTGGTGCATGCCTATAATCCCAGCACTCTGGAGGCTGAGGCAGGAGGATTATTGAGAGTTCAAGGCCAGTGTGGGCTACAAAGTGAGCTCAAGGCCAGCCTGAGCTGCATAGAGAGACCCTGTCTCAAAAAGACAAAAACAAAAACAAAAACAAAAACAACAAAAAACAAAACATGGGGCCACATGTTTGAACTCTGTGGAGACCAGAGCATACATACACCCTCACACACTTGCTAGGTGACACCCAACACTGTCTCCGCCAGCAAGAAGGCCCGTGCCAGATGTGGCCCCTCGCCCTCCAGAATCGGGAGTCAAAACAAAATGCTCTTCTTTATAACTCACCCGGTCAGGGGTGTTGTGTTATTGGCAACGGATAATGGTCCAGTGTAGGCCCTAACAGGATTCTTGACAATGTTCAAACATTTATTCATTCAGTGAATAGGTGATGAGTCTGTCTAGGCAACAGTGGCACCCCCCTGGGAGATACTTGCTGCGGGGGTTGCAGTGAATGACAGAGGAATGTAGTGTGCTCTAATTGCTAAATGAGGTGTACTCAGCTCCCCACCGATGTGCGGGAGGGACCAAGAGTCTTCTGGGAGGGTGTGCTTGGAAGGCTGGTCTTCTCTGGGAGTCTCCCCATCACTGCATAAACTCCTGAATATGCAGGGTGTTAAAATAAACCAACACCCTACATGACCCTGGGTACTAAACCTTGTCCCCCTGGGGAGCCTGGGGTCCCCCCCAAGGATGGCTGTGCTGGCTTCTTGTGGCTAGAGGAGTCCACGGTGTTGGGATGACATCCAGCTCCCTGGGCCACCTCTCCACCCCCACCCCCACTCACCGAATGAGGGTGATGTTTTTCCGTGGCACCTCTTTTAGGTCGCTGATGGAGGAAGTCTTGCCAGCAAAGGAGTAGTTAGGGTTGTAGTCTGTCATGATGGTGGAGGTGCGGAGCTTGCTGAGCTTATACTCAGGGCTCTGCAGCTCCATCTGCATGGCTTGCAGCTCCTGGTGCTTCCGGCGGTACACTGTGGACAGACGCAAGGCAGCTGCCAAGGAGTGTCTGGCTGGCAGCCCGGCTTTTGAAGGCCAGCACAGGGCATCTCTTTCAGGAAGGCTTCCTAGATTTCTATGCCCTTCTCTGAGCTCTAATCACATTTGCTGATACTAACAAAGTAATTATACATGTGAAAGCATTCCTTTAATCAAAACAGCATTTAAGGCAAACGTAAGACTTTAAATAACATAAAGGGAAAAGATTTTATTGTATCATAAAGAGGCAGGGATGTATTGGTCAAGATCCTCCTGGGAACAGACCCAAACCTAGGATTTTATCAGGAGAAATGCCTAGGAGATGAAAAGGGGAGGGAGCCAGGAGGCTCAGACCACCAGGTCACGATGCCAGCCTGACCCTGGGTGAAGGAGAGATTGGGAAGGTTGGATGGAACACTGTGGAGTCCATGCAGCCTGAGGCTGGTTTGGTGAGGTCCCCGAGAGCTGTGGCACTAGAGTCAGCCAGCAGAGGGGCGCTGGTCTCCCAGGAATTGGCTAGCCCAGCATTTCTGCAGTGCTCAGTCATGGGTTGGGACTGCTGCTGGGTCAAGGCCGGTTGTGCTTCTGACTCAGAGAACTGTTGTGCCACACAATTGGAGAAGTGCCACACAATGAAAAGATCTCTAGGACCTGAGCGCTAATTTCACCTCTTATTTAAAAGCTGACTGATACCGGCCATATTGTGTGGGCTCCTTAGACCTTGATTTCTTTTTCTGGACAGTAACTCCTGCCTGTTTCCCTGAGCCCCCACTCTGCACTCCCCTAGAGTTGTCATAGTGAAATGGGCCCTCTGACACCGAGTGGCTCTGGGGCATTCTAAGGAACACCACCCTGTGAGGGACTCAGGCTTGTCTTACACAAGAGAGAGGTCTTTACAGCAGACTACTACGGCAGAAGGAAAGGTCCGTGCGGAGAATGGATTCTGCCTGGAGAGCCCAGCCCCACCACTTCCAGGCCAGGGCAAGCACTGCCCTGGGTCAAACGCTATGTGCCCAGTCCCCTCCTCTCTGAGATGTAGCCTCCTTGAGCAGAGGGTTTTCTTTCTTTGTTCGAGGGGAAAGGAAGAGCGAGTAAGAGTAGGCACAGAGGAGGAGGAGGAAAGTGAGGGGCCTCACAGGGCGGGGCGGGGAGAGGCTGATACCGGGAAGAGTGAATGAGAGGAGTGCTGTTCCCTCCCTCTTGAGATCCCCGCCTCCACCTCTTTTCGTAGGAGTGACCCCAACAGCCCCACCATAGGATTTAACAGTCTGGAATGCAAATCACCAGGCATGCAGTAAGTGTGCAACAAGTGTGAGTGCTTGCTGCTTGTCCCTTTGAAAAATGGTGCTACACGGAGACACAATGGGGGCTATCCTCTCCCTGTCCAGTGCAGATTTCCTCACCCTGAAGAGGCCAGACTGTGAATGTGGCTGGGAACCTTTCCCTCTGCCTGTCTTTGTGTCCCTGTCCCTCAGTCCTGGCCATCTTACTGCCTGCAACAGTGTGGCCGGCCCATGCTGAGCTGGCTGTCTGTGATCTCAGGCAGCCATCTTGGCTCACAAGCAGAATGGAAATATGTGGTGAACCCAGCATGCCATTCCCTCTGCTTGGTCGCAGTGGAAGGGTGGGTGGTGGCCCTGATGCTACACCAGGACCTGTGGCCACTACAGCCCATGTGGGCCAAGAGGGAGGTCCCAGGAGAGTGTGTGTGTGTGTGTGTGTGTGTGTGTCAAGCGTTAGTCCCTGTGTCAGCCACCGGGAACATCCCCGCCCCCAGGAGCAGCCAGGAGGCCACACCTGGGCTGAGGCTTAGGATCAGGACTCTCTAGGATACTGTAGTTGCTCTGGGGGTGGAGGGTTGGGAGCTTCTGTTCTGGCGTGGCCTGGTCTTCCCTACTCACCACTCCATCCCACTCTAGGGACTAGAAAACAGAATGACACCTTGGTGTCCATGGCACCACCAGAGACACTATTCATCTCTGCTAGATCTGTCCCTTTTGGAAGTCCCGGGGCTCCAGCACACTCACCTATCATGATGCCAGAGAAAGCCAGGACAAGGGCAGCCACCAGAGCAGAGGTCACCACAGAGAGGATCAGCGAGAGAGGCAGGTGGGGTTCTGGTGTGGGCGACACTGGAAGACAGGTCCCGAGAAGGCACTCACCACCAAGTTGATTCTCCTTGGAGCCGGTCCTCCCTGAGCCGGAGCCAGAGGCACCTGCCTCACTCAGTCAGGACAAAAGCCACCTGCTGCTTCCCATCCCTGAGTTTTCAGGGGCCCTTGGGCATAAAGCAGGCTCATCCTGTTTTACAGTTTCACAACAGTAGCTTTGGACCAGAGGGAAAATTTAACAGGGGTGAATATCAGTTCTGGGTGTTCTAAGACATCAATGGCTGACCATAGGCCAGGGGTGAAAGGGCCAGCAGAAGTGCATGTAGGAGAGATCTGGGGACTGGAGGGGTTCCACACTCTCACTACCCAATAACAGAGTGTGCCCTGGTAACACCCTGTGAGGCTGAGTTAGCTCCTGTAGCCCCAAGGCCTCAGCCCAGGGAAAGGAAGGCGGGGCCCTGTGTGATGTCTGCTGGTGGCTCACTTCGAGGCTCTCACTTGCTATGGGACACCAGGCATCAAAAGGCACACTGATGCCTAGAACAAGGGCCAGGAGGGACACCAGGTTGGGGAGGAGGCACACAACTGTCTCTGCACCATCAGAATGAACAGGCTTTTTCATCTGGAGGAGACTTAAAGGAGGATGGGGCGTTGTCACCAGCTCCTCAGTTGAAAGGCTGTAGCCAGTTAGGAAGCATGAGAGAAAGCTCAAAGAACAGGGTCCCTGTCCTGAAACTTCCTGACACAATGGAGTGCCTTGGGAGGGCCAGGTCCCTGCCTCTGGGGTGTCTGAGTGGAGACGCAATGGCCTTTGGTGAAGTCAGACGGTTTGTGCCCTGGCTAAGGGGTAGGACTCCTCCAGAGCTATGCCCCAGCTTTCCTACTAGACCCCTCTGCCCCATCGACACAGCACCAGCAGGAAGGGGATTGGATGCTCACAAAACCAAGCAGGAGGTGTCCCTGAACCATGGAGACCAGCTGCCCAGACTCCGGCCCCTCCCCTCCCCTCCCCTCCCCCATTCCGGCCCCCTTACCAATGCAGGAGACGCCGTCCTCAGCCAGCACTGTCCCATGGTCACAGAAGCAGATGATCTTGTGGCTCTGAGGGTCCAGGTGACATTCATCCACCTCACAGTGACTGCAGTTTAGGTAATGCTTAATATTCACTTCCCCATGGCCCTCCATCACTGGTGACAAGGAGCAGGGTCAGTCTTAGGCTGGGGTCTGCAGCCCACGCCCTGCCTTCATGCTTTATCTCCACCTGCTCACTGTGTGTGCCCTGGTCCCCATTCTTAGGTCCTATCGCCAGTGGAAACAGTTCTGTGTAGGGAAACCTTCCCATGCAGCTGACAGAGTGTGTGTGCATTTTTTCGGGTAGGGGGAGAACCCCCTGCAGAACCCCCTGCAGAACCCCCTGCAGAACCCTGAGGCCAGCTGCTGGATTTTCTAGGACTGACCTGCCCGGTTGCCTGCCTCTGTGTCCACATTAAGTCACACATCCTGACTTCCCAAAGACAGGGCGACATGAGCCATGGGATGACTCGCCTGCCAGGGACCCATGAGTCTGCTCTGTGTCCTGGACACATGTCAGTAACTGAGGTTTAGCTTGGCAGGAGAACTGGCCTAAGGAAGTTTGTTCTGTCACCCAGCAGAGGGCGGTACCTTTTAAAGCGGGGGTGTACAGGATGCCCAGGGGACTGATGAAGGAAACCCCATCTTCCCCATCAATTTCAGGGTCATTGTTTGAGGCTGCATTGCCACCTGTGGCAAATCAGAGAAGAGTTGAACACAGAGAGGTGGATGCCAAGTCTCAACACACATGCGCGTCCGCGGGCATGCAGCTCTGGCCAAAGCCGGGGGTCACTGGGGACCTTAGGGGGCTGAAAGGCAGGGAGGGAAGGGAGATTCAGGGCACAGCGGCTGTACTTGGGTCTTGGCTCAGTGGATGCAGGGGGATGGACCATTTTCTTCTCCAGATTGGGGCCGCTCCCTGGGGCAGTCTCCACTGCTCTGCCAAGGACCCAGGAGGAAGTGGTGGACATGAGCAAGAGTCCTTGAGGCGAGCACGGGGAGACCAGATACACCCAGATACACCCCTCGGCTGCTTCCAGGACTGGCCTGGACAGTAGCTCTGAGGAGTTGCTCGCCAGCCTCACTGCACTGGGTCAGGGTTGAGGCATGGCAGGTAGACGAGCCCCTGTGCCTTCAGGCTCCTGTCCCTCCTTTCATTTGGTGGTGGGTTATCTTTGGGCTCCCTCCCAGGGCTCCCACCCACCCAGAGCTTGGAAAAGAAGAGCATGTGGTTAACACAAGCATCTCGCACAGCATCAAAGCAAACACAGACAAGAACGTCACGGTGCAAGCATGCAGTGTGTCCTAATCTACAGGAGGGTGGGGCTGTCATCTCACAGATTCTCAGCTTCAGAAGGCTCTTCTGAAGGCTAGGGGTGGGGGGGTGGCCAATGGCAGGCCACCTGCCAGAGGACTGGGCTGGGGATGCTCAAAGTGGCCCTCGGGAATAGCTCCTCTGGAGCAGGTGTGCTGGGCTGGGGAGGGAAAGCAAGGAGCCTGGGAAAGTGCCAAGTAGTCCCTTAGGGAGCTCAAGCCCCAGGGCAGGTGAGGGGCTGGGGGTGTCTGGCCTCCATAGTTCTCAGACTGTGAGCCCTTGCAGTGGCTCTGAGAACAGTCTGGAAAGCCAAAGACGTTTTATCTCTGGCTCTGGGGATTGAGGATCACATGGGATTTTGATGCAGTCGTTAAGGGAGCCGAGAGGCAGGATGCTGGCTCGGGAGCCAACACCCTGCCTCTGGCTGGTGCAGCCAGGCTGAGGGGAGCGTGCAGTTATATCACAGGATTGCAGGCCAGGCTGGGGGGCCAGGGAGGGCTGGGGAGGACTGGGAGGGCCAGGGCAGGGTGCCTAGGACTAAGGGGAGGGAGTGACACCTTGAACACGAATCATCTTTACCTATATATCCTCCGCCTCCTCCACCTGAGGAGCACCCCCCGCCACCCCCTCCGAAACCCCCTCTTGTCTCCCACCCCCACTTCTTCATGGCCTGGGGGCAGGCATGTCCTCCAGTAGCGCCCTCCAACAAAGATTTTCCGGCCCAGAGTAAGGAAGTGTTATCATCCCAGCCACCTCCACCACCTGCAGGGAGAGAGGAGAAAATGTATCTCTGGGGATGTTGGTGAGGCAGGTAGCAGGGTGTGTGGTGCTTCGAGCACCACAGCATGCTCCCACATGCTCCAGGTCTTTGGGGCTGTCGTCAGAGATCAAGAGCTCCAGAGTGCCCAGCTGAAGAGCCAGGAGCAAGCCTTGGCCCAGGGAGACCTAGGCCATGGAAGACCTAGGCCACAGCAGGTCTGCACTGAGTGTGCCTCTGCCCCAGCTTCCTGTTGGCCTCTGGCTGAGAAGCAGGGAGGGTGCTCGGATAGGAGTCTGGGTAGGTGAGGCAGGAAGCATGGTCCTAACTCCTTCCTCCCTGCCCGCTGACCCCGAAGCATCACACCCCCACTTAGCAAGAACTGGGACCCAGCCAGCTGTCAAAGCCCTACTGAGCTCACAGCACTAAACCTTTCACATGAACCCAGGACCAGGCACCAGGGAGCTCTATGAGCTTTGCTGTCTGCTGTGTGTGAAACCCTGGGAGTGAACTTCTCTAATCTGAGCCTCAGTTTCCTCACCTGTAGCTAGAGAAAAAGAAGACCCATTTTATGGGATGTTACAATTGAGAGAGATGGGGAGAGAAGAAAATGAGAGAGAGTGAGAGAGCGAGAGAGAGAGGGAGAAGGAGAGAGGGAAAGAGGGAGAGAAGCTCCACAACCACGTGTCAGGACCAATAAGAGTCTGATGGAACACCTGTGTGCAGGCAGTCTTACTCCCAGGCTCAGCCTGTTCTGGGTCACCGAGACCAAAGCTTGGGAGTTTCCCCGAGAGTGGAGAAGCCCTGGGAAGGGCTGCAGGGTGCCCCAATGACAGTGGTAGCCACTGGCGCTGAGCTGCTTCGAGCTGGAGGAAACAGATCTGCAGAGCTGAGCCTGGATGTGGCTATGGGTGGACCACACAGACCCGTCCTGCCTCTCCCTCAGCCTTATTGTCCCATGTAGCATTTCACAGACATCCGCACCCAAGAAGATGATGGTGAAGATGACAGTGGGGGGCTTGGAGACCAATGCAGGAGGTTCGTTGGTCTGGAAGAGTCTTCTGGGAGGACTCCTGGCTGAGGTTCTCTGGACCCATAGAGGGCAGCAGAGGGACAGGTGGGAGGAGGAGCGTCAGGGAGGGATAATCATGTGCTAGGAGGAGCGACCCAGGTTCAGAAAATGAAGCTTGGGTCTACCTAGGGGAATATCAGGACTGAGTGACAATGCTTGGGCGGGCTACGGGGACTTTGTCAGTGGTGGGAACTACCAGGCTGGGTGCCACGCATGGGTTGCACAGGGCTGGCTGGCAAGATAGCCTGCGGGTCCCCTCCCCTTTGATATTGCATCTTAGGGGCTTGTGACGATGATGCTTTCACGTGCATAACGGCATTGGTGTGAGCGAGGGTCACACAGCACCTGGGAGATTTCTGGGGAGGGCAGGGCCCGTGGTACTTTACCTGCGGCTCCGGAATTGCCGTTCAGCCCTAGAACCAAGGAGTTATTCTCCAGTCTCTCCGAGTGGAACGTGTCTGTCTTGGCCCCGTAGGCCCTGCCGCCACCGCCAGCTGCAATGATGAGGGGCACGGGCACTCCATCCTTCATCTGGCCAGAGGAGACACCCAGAGACCGGGAAAGTGAGCTGGGCATCCACTCCGGAGACCCCAAGTCCTGGTTTAAATGTTTCAACCTGATCGTTTGCAGGGCAGTAGGGCGAACTTCTGCTCGGAGGTGGTTTGAGGGCCCTGAACTCATGTTCCCATGGCCCACCCTGCCAGCTTCTGTATGAGTCAAGGTTCAAGCACAGGAGTGAAACTACCAGGGAATGGGTCTTGGAGGCCACTTATCCCAGCCTCTCTCCTGACGCTCCTCAGACAAGCTGCAGAGGTCCTGATGCTGGGGACGAAAAGCAGGTGTCTCTGCTCGTTCCCTCCTGTCCACTCTTAGGCATCTTTAGCTCTGATCCCCAGCTCAAGATTAAGTCCCCGTGGGAGCACTCAGAAGGAGGCCCCTGCATTTAGTTTGTGGCCAGGCTTTGATGATGTCAGAGAAGTCTGCCTCAGGCCAGACACTGCCCCGTAAGGACAAGGGACCCTCTGGAGCCCTGGAGCAGTCCTGACATGGTGAACCTGGGCTGGTCAATGAGTAAGACAGGAGCTGCCATTTCTTAATGGACAATGCACTTCCTTCTGGGCTTCTGCTTCTCAGCTTTAAGTGGGAGAGAGAGCATCTCATGGCTTCATGGTTTTTACCCAGGCTCCCCTGAGGCTCTGACACTAGGACATACAGAAATCCTCCCCCTAGGAATCTGGCCAAGCAGACCTCACCTTAAACACGTAGGTGGCTCCACCCCCACCTCCTCCTCCTCCTGCCCACTCATGCACACTTCTGTTCACACGAATTTCTTCTTCTATCACGTTGCTCTCTCCAATGCAGACTTTCTGGATTAATTGGTTTGTCTGTAGAAACAAAAAGCACAGGAAGTTTGTGCCCAAACCAGGGTTGATTACACACCCTGCAGACACACCTCGTATGTTTAAAGATAGGTTCTAACTATGTCTGAACTGAATAGGCAAAAAAATATACACAAATAACTGTCCCCGTGGGCAGTATTAGGGAAGGACCGTAAGGACAGCTTGACAAAAAATGTTCTGAGAAATTGGGAGTGGGAGGGAGGCTTTACTGCTGGTTGGTGGCTGGGGAAGACTGCCAGCAGCAGGCTTTTCTAGATTGGGCCTGGAAGGACAGGGAAGGTTTTTAGCACAGGGAGTGGAGGAGTTAGATCATTCCAGGCGAGAGCCGAGTGAGACCAGAGGGCAGAGGGTGAGTGTGGTGTTTGAGGAAAAGCACGAGGGTCTCTTGCTCAGCCAAGTCCATCTTTGGACAGAGAGCTGGCCCAGGAGGACTGCCCCGCTGGGGTCCTGTGGGCTTTGAAGCCGGGGTGGCAAAGGCCTCATGTGGTGAGAAGGGGCTAGAGGGCGTAGAAACCAGGGCAAGGACCGGGAGAACACTTCACAGTCACATCGTGGCAGGAGGCCTTGAATACAATCAGGGCAGTGAAGAACCATTGAGATTTTGGAAAGCTCTGGAGCAGCATGGGAAGAGCCTCCATCCACCAGCTAAAGAAGAAAAACCAAAACCAAAAACAGCAGGACAAGGACAGACTCAAATATCATCCCCAGGTCATCTTTGGGAAAGTTATTTGTCCATGTTGGATGTTCTTCCCAGCTAATGGCTCATTTCTTGTTTTAAAAAACCCTCGGTACAGCCCCAAACAGTGCTCTTGTCTGACATGCGGAGGAGAGGAGAGATCCTGGCGTTGGATGCTCTGGACCCCTGACCCGCCTTGACCGTCTCCACGTCTCTCTTTCTCCGAGTCAAGTGTCTGCCATAATGTCTCACACCTGTAGCGATGGGATAGGTGGCTGCTGTTATTATTTTACTTATATTCACTCTGGACCCCACAAACTCTCAGTGGGGATTCGGGGACCTGGGAGTTCCTGGGACTGCACTAGGGGACAGTGTAATTTCTGTAATGCAGAATCTTAGAATCCTTTCCTAAAGAAGCCAGGGCTGGGGATATAGCTCAGCGGCACAGCACCTGCCTGGCAAGCGCAAGGTCGTGAGTTTGATTCCTGGTACCGGAAAAAAAACAAAAAAAAAACCCCAAACAAGCAAACAAAAAAAGAAACTAATGCCTCAAGAACAGCCACCTGCTTGTCAGCCACCACAGCTCAGATAAATTTTCTAAACATCAGCCTGACCTCAGAGGAAAATTACTTTTCTTTCACTTAATGGAAGAAAAGCCAATAAAACATCAGATTTCCATCAAATGTGGCTGTGTAACCAGCCAGTGGATACAGCCATTCATCTTGAGACACTCCTTATGCCGAAGCATTCAGGGGTGCTGGCAATGAGTATCAGGGAAATTTCCAGATAAACAGCTGAGATGCAATTTGTTTTATGGCATTTTGGATTTAATGATGGAAATAATTTGATATTTTTTAGAGTGGATTTAGTGTGGATGAAAGATTCTGAATTGCTACTACAGAGCGCTAACATTTCTCTTGTGCACACGCAGCACTGTCTGGGGCAGGGGAGGCTGGGGGAAGGAAGTACTGCCGTCGGGTGGAGGACGGGGCAGGGAGAGGGATGGGTTGCAGCAGCCACACCCCGGGGCTGAGATGGGGCCAGGAGGAAGGAATGTGGGGCATCAGCAGGGCAGAGAACACAGGGTCCGGTGCAGAGGACACCGAGTCCAGCTGCGTTCTGGATGGCTCTTGCCGCAGACCTGCTGGACTCCAATGGGCAAGGCTCCTTACGTCCCTGGACTTGCCTCTTTCTGTAAGTGAGGGCCTGGTCTGAATCAGCAGTGCTAAGAAGGCCTACCTCTTAGACCCTGCCCCCTGCCCCCTGCCCCTCTGCCTGCAGCAGTGTAAGCTGTGTCACATGGGATACCTCTTATTGCCCCTGCTCCAGACATATCCTTTCAATCAGGGTGTGTGTGTGTGTGTGTGTGTGTGTGTGTGTGTGTGTGTGTAATGGTTCATTCTCAACCTGCATCTACTTGGCCCCAGCAGGATCAAGTGGTAGAGTTAATACACTTTCTAGTCTGACTTGCAGGACTCCACATTCTCTGGATTCCCCTCTTACCTCCCTGGCTCCTCGTTCTCAGCCCTCTTTGCTGATTTCTTCCTCTCTTTCTCTCTCTCTTTCTCTCCCTCTCCCTCCCTTTCTTTCTTTCCTGACCTGTAAATGTTGGGAGTCCCCAGGGCTCATCCCTGGTCTTCACCAGTTCCACATTCTAGGTAATCTCATTCTATCCCAGCTCATGCTGATTTCTGCCTACTGTATATCTTTACCCTGATCTTGAACTGTGGTATCCTGTCCCCTATGTTGACTTCCTGAAGTCCCCACTCTGCTGTCCACAAGGCCTCTACAGTCAGTATGTCCAACCCTGACCTCCAGACCTTGTCCCCAACTTGCTCCTTCCACAACATTCTCCAGCTATGGGGCCAGCAGCTCTTTCCCTCCAAGGACTCAGGCAGGGTTCTTGGAGTCCTCCTTGACTCTTCTTTCTCTCAGTTAATCATATAATCAGGCAGGAAATTCTTTTAGCTTTTACATTCAAAATACTCCCAGAGTTCAACACTTTTCACCACCTCTGCTGTTACCATCCTGGTCCAAGCCACCATTGTCTTTTGCCCAGATCAATGCAATAGACCTTGAAGGTGTTACCCTGATTCTCCCTTGTGCCTACACAGTCTGTTCTTCACAGTGCAGTCAGAGCCAGCAATTGGATGTGTATGTCACATTATGCCACTATTTGGCCCCACACCCTCCTGTGGCTTGAACATACCCTTAGATGGCATGGTCCACCCCATCACCCAGACCTCATCTCTTACCTACGCTTCCTTTTGCTCCCTCTACTCCCTCCCATAGGCACACAGGTACCCTCCCACCTCAGGGACTAGCCTTCGCCAGGTTGGCTCTTTCCTCAAATACTTTCTTCCTCTCCCTGCTTAACTGCAAGGTCCTTGTGTGCAAAGACCTTTCTCTGGTTCACAAAACAGTGGCTGGAACCAAACATATGGAACAGTAGCTGGCACATGGAAGGCACTCAATACATCTGTTCTGAGTAAGTCTGAATGAATGGAGAGTTGTCTGGCTTGTGGGTGGCCCTTTACAGTATGTGCCTGGTGGGTGGGAGTAATGGGATTTAACATGTAGACCAGTGCTTTTGTTCCCTAAGGGGCATTCGGAAATGTCTGGAGGTATTTTTTGATGGCCATTTCTGGAGGACACTATGGGCCTCATGTGAGTAGAGGACAGGGCCTAGGTTAAACATCCCACCATGCACAGAATAGCACTCCATCCCTCCAAAGGGAATTTTCTCCCAAATGCCAATGGTGCCTCTCTTGACAAAGTCTGACTTAGACTTAGGCCACCAGCCAAGGTCTAGAAGGAACCAGAGGAGCAAGGTGTGTGTGTGTGTGTGTGTGTGTGTGTGTGTGTGTGTGTGTAAGGGGGCAGTGTGCAGCAGCTGAGCCCACGCCATGCACAGTAGCTCAGGAATGGCCACACACACAGGAAGAGTGACTCCTGTCATGGGTGCAGCTGAATCAGCAAAGCTGCCATTTCATTCTTAGAGTGCACTCCATTCTCTTGAGATCATCTCTGGACACCATTTTTCTAACCATCTGAAAATGTTTTTCCTTTTGTCATGACTCTAGGGTAGAGGTGTGGACCCACCACTGAAGATCAGTGATTTTCCCCACCTGCCCAGGCTATGCCTGGCCCGACCAGCTGTGCTCTGTCCCTGACTGAGAATCACCTCTTTCTGCCAGTTTGGGAACTCTCCTTGTACATCTGCAACGTTTGCGAGCACACAGGTTGATTAATAAAAATGATAAAGTACAGCAACCTGAGGAACAAGTAGATTACAATTGAATTAAAAAGACACGGTCATCTGAAGAGACATAACTGATTACAATCCAATCAAGTAAAAGTCCCTTGCAGAAGTCAATGCAATCTTTCTGCTTAGATGAAAGAATTACATTAGCACTCAATAAATTCCTGTAAAAATTACAGCAGCCTGTAATTTAACGACTTGATATATGATAACGGGTTGGCAAGCCTTGATTATAGTTGCTAAATAAAAGTTGGAGTGGAGACATTTCTTCGGCTGAAAGGTGCACCCGTCAAGTTTACTCCTGTTGTTTTAAGCGAACCGCATAGGGGAGGAAGGCTGAGCTTCATTCTTTTTTGTCTGCTGCCTCTTGGTCCGGCTCTTGGGAATTGTGAGTTAATTTTGTGGACTTCAACTGCTTTCTCTGTAGTCCCAGCCCCCGCATCTGTCCTCTCAGGCTGCTCCCAGGTAAGTTCCTGGAGAAGGAGCTGTCTTGGCCACTGGAACCCAGCTGAATCCCTGCTAGGGCCCCCAATGCAAGTGAAGCTGTGCTTCCTAGGAGGCTGAGGCCTGGCCCAATCAGGACATGTTCCCTGCAGGATACTGAGATCTGGTGCCAGGGTTCTGGCACCCGCAGCACGGACAGACAAGAGACAAACCACCACGCGTTTAGGGTTTGCATGGCTACTACTTAGTTCTCACTGCCTCCTCCTGGTAATTCGAGACACCCTGGGCTTTCTCAGTTCTCCCTCCTTGACGCTGGACATCTGCTGGGGTCCGAAACCCAATGGCAGGCTGTCTCTGGGACTGCAAGTCTTGTTCAGCAAGGGGCTCTAAGTGCAAATGGGCAAAAGGCTGTTTTGCTAAATCCAGGTCAGGGCAAGGCACAGCAAAAACAGGAGGCACTTTGTGAGCGACCCTGGACAAGTCCTTCCACCTCTGTCCTCTCTACTTACTGCACCTCTAAAGTGGCGGACCTGAGTTTCATAGTACTGTGGCTCTCAGACTATGCTTCACTTTTCTTTTTAAAGTCTTAACTGCACATATAATAAGTAATATATGGAAGCCTTTTTTTTTTTTTGTAAAAATTTCAGACATTATCAATAAAGTGCCCTCAATCCAGACCCTCCTCAGAAATAAGCACTAGTACATACTGTAGACCTTTCAGAATTTTTTCTGTGCATTTATGTACATCTACATGTGACCAGAAGTCTGTGATTTTGAGCTGAACTGGAAGTGCTTAATCTGGCATTTTCCTGTTTGTAGTAATATAATTAAAGACAATAGTGCCCTACCAAAAAAGTTTGGGAACTGAGTTCCAACCCATATTCTGCTGAGAAGAATAACCACTGGTCCGTTTAAAGGAAATTCAGTGCTTCATTTGTAAGAGTCACTCATGAAACCACCACCTTATCCTTGGCCCCTGTGGGGATGTAAAACTCCACCAGGCAGAGAATACCAGCTTCCTCGTGGCCTGGGAAAAGGACAGCCACTTGCAGCTGGATCTAAAAGCAAGTCCTGCAGACTTTGAATGTAAATGAGCTCCAGGAAGGAGTGTGACCAGTGCTGGGGTCCTGGAAGAGGCCTCCCCACGCTGGATGAGTGTGGAGCACAAATCCCTGCTCTGAGCACTTACACTGGGGCAGGCGTCTTCTCCCTGCTGCCCGACGAGGATGTATAGCATGTCGTCCTTCTCCAGGTTGAAGATGCCCAGCACAGACACGCCATGCGACCGTATCATGGTGTTCTTCCCGCCTTTCCCGCCGGCGGCACCGTAGCATGAGATGCTGTAACGGACAAAGCACAGCAGACCCAGCAATGGTATGAACACTGACCCGCCTCCTGCCAACCCTGAGGCTTCCATGGGGCCAAGCACATCACCACCATCTGAGGATTCTTGGCCGCACCAACCCATGAAGCCAGCAGGGAGGGATTCCTCTCTCTATTGTCAGGAGAGCACGCTCAGGTTTATTGAGGGACAGGGAGTTAGTTACCTTAGTCATGGTGCCAGGAAGGTGAGGAACTGGTAAGGTGTTGGAGGGAGAAAGAGGGAGAGGAAGGGAGTTGAGAGAGAGATAAAGAGAATTGGGGCCAGGAGTAGTGGCACATGTCTCTAATCCCGGCACTCAGGAGGCTGAGTCAGGAGGATTGCAGTGAGTTCAAGGCCAGCCCAAAATACATAGTGAGACTCTGTCTCAAAAACAAATAAACAAACAAACAAATAAATTAAAAAAGAGTTGGGATGATATTCTCCCAAATACCCAGGATTTTCCCACTGTGGATTTCAAAGTCCACTAGGTCAAGGTCAAGGAACTCATGTGACCTTAGACAAGCAACATAACCTCTCTGTTCATCCGTACAGCGCAGACTATAGGAGAACCTCCCCCGTACTCAACAAGTGTAATAGAGATTAATGGAATCCAGACACATAAGAATTGTGGCCAGGACAAAACAGGCAGGCGGTAAATACTCATTAGAGTAGTGTGAATGGCGGTAGCAGCAGTAATTGACTCGGTACAAAGTTTTAAATTCTCCCATGGGGTCTAGAGACAAGGAGGTTCCACAGGCAACGGTTGAGGGGAACATGTTTGTGAGCACAGACTGTTTACTCCCTTCCCACCAGTAACTCCTTCTGGAGCAATCTGGGCGCAGACAACAAACAACCAATCATGATGAAAATAAAAACAGAGTATGGGGATGTGGGAATATTATCTGCTGTTGCTTAGATTGTTGAGATGAAGTCAAGCACGGAAGGAGGGGGAAAGAGAGAGTTCTATTTGTGAACCTTGTCAGAAGAGCAGCATGTCTTGAAGGCAGCAAGCACACCAGCTAGCAAATGCTAACAAATGCCTCCCCAGGGAGCAGCTGCCAGGGAGAGGGACCGGGGAGGATGTCTATGTCCCTGTGTATTCAGAGTCCCTTTCTGAAAAACTAGGAAGAGAGACAGAAGACAGTTTTGCCCATTTGCATACATGCTGGCTTGTCCACCCACATTCTGGGAAATGCCCCATGTTCTGAGCAGGTGAGGGGGCTTCTGGGGGCTCTCCCAAGGCAGAACATGGGCCCTTCTGTGAGCCAAGCCTGAGTCTGGCTGCTTGCTAATATGCAGGCAAGGTCTTACATTCACCGGGGAATGCAAACATAGAATCTTGCACCCAGGATTCTGGTGGGTGCTTAGGCCCCAGTGGGAGCTTATTGTATGCCAGGCAGGGTGTCAGGCTGTGTGGACAAGAGGAGGCCTGAGATAGGATGCAGGCCCTAGAAGGGTTTAGGAAGAAAGTGAGCAAATGGTCATAGTTATGCAAAGAGAAATTTTACCATCATGGTGGCTATATTAAAAAGGCAAAGTGGAGGGAGGTCCTGGGGCTCTAAGATTGGAGTAGACCATTTCCTACCACTGAGTCCTCTCAGAGGCCCAGTTTTTTCCCTGGGAAAAGAAGTATCTCCTAAGTCCTCTCTTCCAACCTCACATGGTGGTTCAGCACCAGAAAGAGATACTGGCAGAAAAGCCCGAGGACACTGCACATTTCTGTGAAAAGCATGGATCATCAGATGCTCAGGGCCATCTGGGATGGAACACTCAGAGGTGGGGTTGGGGTGGGCTGGAGGGCTAAGCTTGGCCTTGTGGTAGGTTATCAGATGGGCAGGACTTCTGACAAGCAGAAGCGGGCAGAAGGTAGGAGTCAGGGCTACAGTGACCGGCAGTGAGGGGGCCAGGAGCCTCTGGGATTTCGGGCTGCGGCAGGCAGAGGCGGTGGAAAGACTTGGTTGTAGGTTTAGGGAGAGAAGTAGGGGCCAAATACAGAGCATCCTCCATGTGTCCAACATCAGGCATACTCGCATGCAGATAGCGTCCCCCACAAATACCTACACGCAGTGGACATTATTAATCTCATTTGACAGATGAAAAAACTGAGGCTCCAAGGGATTAAGTGCCTCATCTGAGGCCACACAGTTAGCCAGTGGCAGACTGTGGTCCACATCCACACATCTCCTGTGCAGTCTGTACCTGGAGGCTTCTACAAATGCTCAAAGAGGGAGGCCTGAGCAGACCCCGGCTCATCCTTGTTCCCTCGGAGCCTGAGTCAAACGTTCACTCCTGATCCATTAGAAATGGACAAGGTGATAAATGAAGAAAAGGAAAACTTGTAGTGCCAGGAAAGAGGAAGTAGAATTATTCAGCTCAGAGAAGAGAACCCCGAGGAGGGGACAGTGGCAGTGGTGGCCGTGTGGCTTCCAGAGAATGCTTAATTTTGGGACAGAAATGCATGTGGGCCTCACCTCAGTCCTACCCGACTGTAACTCCAGGTTTCTGACGCTTCGTCAGGAGGCACAAAAAATGTCATTTCAACCTGAAGGTGTGGTTTGCTCAGAGAACTTCTGCCTAAGTCCTCAACCACCCCTCCTGCTTATGGCTGAGAGGTAAGCTTTATCCTGCTAATTTCTTTCTGCATCATTTGCATAGTCATTTGCATAAATATGCACTCATTATGAATCATTCTGAACTCTTTCACATGTTTAAATTTAGCCAAATTATTACATTTTAGAAGTTATTTGTTTCTGACTTTTTCCTCTCTCAGTCTTCTTTCCCTGTTTTTTCCCCAACCCTTCACCAGATCTGGATGCCAGCTCCCTCTCTGCTTTGATCCAGTTCTAGGCAGTGAGGTGGGCTAGAAAGAGCTTTGAGCTTGGGGTCAGTGCCAGCTATAGTCCTGCTGTGCTGGCTGTGTGATCTTGGTCAACCTCTCAGAGCCTCAACTTCCACTACCAAGGAAAAAAATGAGGATAAGAACCCCTGGCCCCTGTGTGGGGACAAATAATGTGTTTGGAAAGGTGGTAGACTGGTGCAAAGTCCAGAGAGGGCTGCCGGCTGGGGTCAGCTTTCCGTGTAGAGCTCAGCAACTTTGTGTCAGTGCCTCAGATTCACTTTCCTGGGTGGTGGCCTCCACCTCACATTGCCACTCTGCATGGGGGGGGGCACTTATAGTCTTGGGGAGGAGGCAGCTGTCTGCCTTGTGTAATTACTGGGGTCCTGGGAAACCTTGTCTCTCTCATCACCCCTGAGGCCTGAAATCCTACCACCAGAGCTTCACTCCTCTGGAAGCTTCTAAGTGCTACTGCAAGGCTGATTTGCTTGGGAATGAGATGAACCACAGTGAAAAAAGCAAGAGTTCGAATGCAGACAGACCTGGGTCCAAATCCATGGTCTGCCTCTCAGTCAGGCATAAGATGAGGCCTGTGAGCTCCCTGCCTCCAGGCGCTGACCATGCATGTGGGGACTCAAGAACCAGTGCCTCCTGAAATTTTGTGCCTGAGATATCTTGCTTACCTCCCTGGGGCCCGGCCCTGCCAGTCTCCCTCACTCGTTGTGCGAACCTCTCCAAGCCTCAGTTTCCTTGCATATTAGGAGACCATAAGACTACCTGATTGGAAAGGTGGTTATGAGAGCTAAGTGAGATAAAGCTCTCAGGGACTTAATACAGTAATTAGAGGGCAGCCGGTGAGAGACAACTGGAGCTGCCACTAGGAGGCGCTCTTGCCAGTGAGCCTGTCCACTCCCTTCTTGGGGGTGGCTTCTAGGAACTACAAGGGAGAGAGAGAAGAAAAGCAGGGGCAGGAGGCAGACTAGTGGGATCAGGACTGTTGTGTTTCACCCAGGCCCCCCCATGCACTTAGCGCTTCGGCAGACCCGGCACCTGGAGACTTATGCCACACAACCCACGCCAGAATGAGAGGCAAAGACTCAGTCTCTGAAGCCCTCTCCTCAATCCTTGTAAACAATTTATTTTTGATGGTTGACAAATGACAAGAAATTAATATACCTGCCACTCAAGTGGGGAAAATGACTCCTAATGATTCCAATTTACTGGAAATTACAAGATATTGCTCTCAACGAGTTGATGCTGTAATTTTTTTTTGTTTTGTCTTTTCTTGTCTAAATCCATGTCTCCTGGTCAGAATGGATGTTTATTGGGTTTGCGTTTTGTATTATTGACTGTGAGCTATTGTTACCTGATGTAATTGAGTTGCGAATCTTTTTTAAATAGAGAATTAGCAGCAAATCAAAGTGGCTGCCTGCCGGAGCCTGCAAGTTCAGCCCGGCTGGTGTGCAGCACGTCAGCTGTCTGTACCCACCTAGGGGTGGGTAGGTAGAGGGGAAGAGGGACCCCGCTCGGAGAAGTAGTACCACCCTCTTGACATGTGAGAGCCTGGCACCTAGCTCTGAGCTCTGTCTCTAACTTCCAGTGGGACCTTGGGCAGGTCCCTTCCTCATCTGTGTCCATTTCCTTATCTGGGACAGGGGCATGGTAAGGTCAGGCCTGCCTGTCCTACGGGGTTACTGTGAGGACATACGTGGGACATCTGAGTGTGTCCAGGGCTTGGCTGGCAGGAAATTCCCAATCAGATGTACAGTCAGAAGGGTCACATGAACCATCAGGTGACACCTTAGTGGTCAACGCTGAAGAGGCCAGTGGAGGCACCCGCTTCTGGCGGAGCTGCCCTGCTGTATTCCTGGCAATGCATGAGTGAGGTTCATGGGCCACTTCTTCCCTCAGCACCCGGCTGCCTGTGCTGCCCTCAGCACCTAGGGGCATTAAAGCTGGCTGGGATCTCAAGGACCTCTCCCTTCAACCCCTCACATGGCAAATGGGGCTGCTGGAGAGAAGCGAAGGCAACTTTCAAAGTGCCATGGTGTGCCAGGGGCAGAAGTGGGGCCCAAACTCCACTGATCTTCGCTGAGTCCCCCGCCACTCCGGCTTTCCCTGCTCTGTGCACTTTGTAGTGA